ACAAGATAGAGGAAGTCTTCCTCCATAATCCTACACATATCCTATTTATTGGTGAAAACCTTATATTCGCTTTTAATTAAATCAAATTTGTTTCTCAGATTGGAATAAGCAGACAAGATTATGACAGTTGAATGCAGCACGAAGAACATCGAATTTATTATGTATTCACATAACAGCCATTAGGATATAGTTACAAGCTTTGGAACAAATTACTACATCCAGAGATTGATCATATTCAACATCTCTGATTATTTTTACCTAGTATATGTGGTATAAATATGAGATGTAACTGTCGGCTTATAAAGAAAAAAAAACGAAAAAATACATATTGTTACTTTTACCTCACCTAGTAATATCATCTTTTTAAATTATTGTTCACTTCAACAGAATTTACGTATTCATAAGATATGTCTGATGATGATAATATCAACGAATATAAAAGGTGTTTTTCAAATGATATAAGTATTACTCAAAATTTGATTGATGCTAGAAATCAATTTGAAATCAGCAGAAATCAATAGAAATCAATAGAAATCAAAGAAATCAGCAGAAATCAATAGAAATCAAAGAAATCAATAGAAATCAAAGAAATCAATAGAAATCAAAGAAATCAGCAGAAATCAATAGAAATCAATAGAAATCAGAGAAATCAAGAAATCAAGAAATCAGTTTGTTCCCCCTTGTTTCAAGCATTAAACTCCCTTTTTTTTAATGAAAGTGCTCTTCTGGATCATCAATTCAAACTGCTTTATTACATGTTGCATTGGCTGTTGGTCAAATTCAAGCCAATAACAGCGGCTTCTACAGGTACTACAAGCACTTTGAGACCTTCTGGTAATTCTACTAACGTCAATGTCATATTTCACTACTAATTCACAAATTAAAATAAGTTTATTTGTAAGAGAAAGAGAGAAAGTATGTGCATCATGTACAATTCAGTCTGAGTTATGAACTGTAAATTAACTACTTGTACATGAATGGAAACAGAAACCCATATTGTTCAAACAATTGTGAAAAAAATCACAGTGAAACTAAAAATAACCTTAACCGCAAGAGTATTGCGGATCAAATACTATTCTTAGTTTTGCTTGTTTTTTTTTCTATAAGGAATGCATTTGAAATTTATCTAAGTAATTGTTAAAAGAGGCTAAAATTCATTTTGCCTTTATTTAGCGAAAAAAGTTAGTTAATTGAAAAACTGTAAGAATAAAAAACAAATTTTTAATGTTTGCTTAGTTGTCATTTTGTATATCGTTAACAGAAAATAGAACTTGTTTGCTTCTTACATATACAACTCAGATATTTCCTTAATTAATCAGTAAATATTATCAATATTTCTCTATCATGATTAACCATGTATGTAAGCACACAAAAATGGATAATCGGACTTTAGTTAAGAGTTGCTGTCTATCGAAGTTCTCGGTATCATTTCGATTGTGTTAGAATTTCTAATAACTTTCATGAACATATTTCGCAATACTACTTTGTTTTTCTAACAATCTTTTATTATCTAGTATTCAATGTCAATATGGTGGCTAACGGTGATGCTGAAACAGGTTCTTGCGAGACAAGTACAAGTATCACTAGTCATACAGGATGGAACTACAATGAAAGCATCATACAAATCTATTACAATAGTAATCTGTTTTAGAGTATAGCGCTGACCATGCCTGCAGCTTCGTAAGATGTATGTCAAGCTTCTTTTATCACTTTTTTCTTCAGTAACCCAGGTCGCTGTTTCTTCTGGGGCCACCAATTAGCCAAACCATCAATGTGGCAAACGATCAGTTGGACTAATTATGCTGATTCTTTCCTTATTGATAGTGAAATAGTGAAGTTTAATCTATCAGCATGTTTGGACGGCTTTCAGACTCAAAATGATAGCGTTGCAGTTTCGTTGACTTTTATGAATCAAGTCAATCAAACGATAGATAATGTGGTCAGTATTGGACCCGTTACTGCTGTTGATCGAAACAATCTAACATCATTTTTCTTTCGATACAGAACTTGACTTGTGCCTACTGGTGCTCGTCATAATTACTTGTGCTGCGGGAACTGTCAATGATGGCTATGTCGACAACATCGCTTTGTTCTTATACCAGTGAACATGAAAATATCAATTTTCGCCAACAAAAAAGATTCTTATATATAGAACTGATTTTTTTATGAAACATCATCTGATCGATCCTTTTTTTTCAACAATAGTAGCTAAATCATTGAATAGTATTCGAGAGAAAACATTAGATCTGCGTGTAGGGTGAGGATTTTAATGTGTTTCATCTGTTGGAATAGATACTCACATGCATACATCATGACAAGACCAAAATGGGTTCTTATGCAATTTGCTCAGGTGCTTACTAACTTCATGAGCACATGTTTTTTGACTTCAGTGTCTGAAAGCAACTCGTTTTTACTGCATTTTTAAAATCATTTGGGTGTATACTGACAGATTTATACATTGATGTTTCAACAGATGATTGTTGGATGAACGGATCATTTTAGGACAGTAGAGTTCAAAAATACATTAAAACTTATTGTAATTGTTCTTTTTCATAGAAAACGTTTTTTGTTCGTGTTTTTCATACAAACTGACTATTTTTTCTTTTCTTATTCTTGGCATATGAATTATTTCGTAATATAAAAATAAAACAATTTGTAATGATTAATTTTCATACGACAGATTTGTCATCAATTTAAAAAAAAACAATTGTTGCCATTTGCTGACTTCGTGAGTAGTTTTGAATTCAACAATAAAAGGATCCACTTTATGTCTGGATACCCGTTGGTTCTCATTCTTCCATGACACTGATTCGTATTGGATATTGAAAGGTATCACTTCGATTCTATGATAAGCAATAGAATACTAAGCTGAAGAACACTACAATACTTTCCCTAGGACATGAAACTTCGATATCTATATTGCTCGTAAAATATCGAACAAAACCTGGGCTCTTATCTTCGTTTTGATGTTGATAGCAAGACGATTTGATGGCAGCTGATGATCCTGGCTTGTCATATCAACTCCTTTCATGATTTTCATCGACTGATGCTCACGACGATTATTACAGTCGCCGAGACAGCCAAAAGTAGTATTGCACACTGTTGTTTCATAAAACTTTCAGTCATACATAGCTGTGAATTAACATGTGGCAGGCATTATATTATCACTGTATTCTATCATGTTGTACGCAGTTTGCAACGATCGTCGAATAGTAAGAAAATCATATATCCGATCGTAAACTGTGTGAAACAATAATATATAGTGCCTTTTTTTGGTGGTTTTAGAGACAGTAATCATCGTTCTACGAATACTCGACCATACATTGCGCCAATATACGATGACCTACTGTTGTTTACGATCGCGCTTGCTTCATCTGGGAAGTAATTCGAAATAGATCCATTTTTTTGTCATCCTTTCACCCGGTACAAATTAACAGCTATGATAACGAGTATGTACATAGGAAATATTGCTAATATCTTAATACCAACTGAATAATGTTCTTACTGTAGTATCTTTCTGTTTCTATCTGCGTTTTTCACCTTAATTTTCAATTAACTGTAGTAAACAATATCATGTTACACTGCTAGAAATCGATAAAAAGTGTTTTTTTTTAATTAGAAATTGTATGCATTTCATGTCATTCACTATTTGTTTCATATATGATCTGAGGATGAACGTGGGCATGGTGTCTCTATTCGTGTGGATATTATCTTCATACAACAAGACCCACACCTGCTTCGTGTCACTCACATTGACAATTATGGCAGGAGATTATTCAAAATTTTAAACAATTTTAAAGTCCACAGTGCTTCAGAAAAGAAATGTTATTCTTCATTGATTAGACTTTTAGAAAAATAGAAAAGTTTTTACGTGAAAAAATGCAAGAAGAAAGAAACAAAGAAACAAAATCTTCTATTGATGAAACAAATCAACGACGAGAAGAAAATAAATCTTTTTATCTATGATATCTATAAAATACCTAGAGCTTTTTAGAAAAAAAATGATGTATGAAAAACTTCAATGAAGTGGTATATATTTACTATTTCTTTATCTCTTGGAAACTTTGTGAATTATAAACATGATTAATTCCTGTTTCATAATTGTCAACAAATCTTGATAGAAGATTCCATATGAAGCCATATATCTCAACAAGAATTTAATGGCGCATTTACTGAAGATAAATAATTAAAGAAAACTTGAATTAATAGTCTATAATATACACCAAATAGATAATACTGCATAATTATATCATAACTAATGAATCAAAGTAGATCCTCATTTTAAAGCATACGTTTTACTTATATGATCTTATCGGCGATATTCATCTATTTTACATACTAATTACTTTATTGTACTTACTGCTTAACAAGTACTCACTTCTAATTAGTACTTAGGTTGTAGAGCATGGTCTTTTTCATTTTATTGAATTCACACAGCATTTTTTCATAAACATTTTGTAACCAACAAAAACTACTCAGTATGATAATTATTAATACAAAAAAAATATATCAGTAGTAAATATTACTAACAAAAAAAAAAATAATGATTCATTTTGTATAACTTTATCATAAAACTTTTACTATTGAATTTTATTTAAGAAGATTTGTATTTAGATTTGTATAAAATTTTAAATGTGACGTAGAGTTGCTTGATTAATTTATCATTTTCAAAAAGATTGTCGTCAACCGATAAAACTCGAAGTGTCCGTATGTCGAAAATATCTGATGGCAAATTTGTCAATTTATTGTCTTTAAGATTGAGTTGATAAAGATTTCTAACACGTCGAATTTGTGGTGTTATAAGTCGAATATGATTCATATCAAAATAAAAAGATTTTTTACTACTTGTTCTATAACCTAATGTTTGAATGCCATCAAGTTTGGTTAAATTATTATTTGACATATAAAGATCAATTAATTTAGGTATATCATGCGGTAAATCTTCAATTAAACAATATCTTACATCCAATATTTCAAGAGATTGAAGACCATTGAGTTCTTTTACTGAACGAAGATATGGATTATTTTTCAATGTTATTTGTTGTAAGAATCTAAGATTTTTAATAGTGGTTGATAATGATGTTAGATTGTTGTTCGGTAAGTATAACATAATTAATGAAGATAAATTACCAATAGAATCTGGAAGAGTTTTAAGACCAACATTTGATAATTTTAATGATTGTAAATGTGTAAGTTTACCTAAATGTTCCGATAAATGAATAATCTTAGTATCAGAAATACTCAATTCCGTAAGTGACGATGGAAAATATTCAATCACATCAACTTGTTGACAATTGCAACAATAAAGACATGTATTTTGTATATACAATCGTTTCAAATGTTTTAAACAATAAATTGTAGATGGAATGACTGTCTTATTAACAATATTTAAACGATGTATATTTTCAGTTCCATATGTCAAACCGTATGTTTTAGGTAAGTTTCCTTGTGGATTAAGATGAATATCAAATAAAAATGATTCAATAATATTTTCATCATTTTCAAACATAGAACAATTAGGCAATAAATCTATTTATGAAACATTTTTAATATCAAAAAAAAAAAATATAAACAAACTTTTATTGAATAGAAACTTTTACTGCTTACCGGATTTTAAATTAGTTAGACTTGCAAAAACAATCGAATGAAGTTGTATTAAATAAGCAAAAACTAGAGGAGAAATCAACAACTTTTCTTTCTTCATTATATTTGATACCAATTAAAATCTAGAATATTTGCTATTTGTCAATAATATATAGTAAAATATTATACGAGAAATAAAACATATTTTATACAGAAAATAACATGTGCCTTTCTATTTTTTTTGATTCCTCTCAGATTTTGTTTTAAGATTATCATTTTTACGTATCTTATCTTTTGACATAACGTCATTTCATTACTGTTTACTGAAAAGAAAGGTGCCTACAAAGTAACCTTTGAAATGTATCTAAATAGTACAAACATCAACACAATACTTTATGTTTTGAGATATGTTCGATTATATTTCATCAATCATAAAAATATTTTCCTGTTAACAATGTGACATATAACATACTCTTGTTGGTACAAAGCAAGTTGTCGATCAATTAGTACGAAAAGAATAAATGTAAAATAATGAGAGAGAAATAAGAGATCAATCTACTCATACAAACTTATCTATGTACTGAACGAGTTTCGACCTTGTGAATATTAGGAATCGACGCAATTATGACTAACACGATTGCATTATATGTGCGTAGTATTATAATAAAAAGAAAAAAAAAGAAAAGGAAGTAGTGAATCATAAAAGCTACATTTCATTTCTGTTTATTGATTGATGAATATTGATAAATCATGTGATTGTTTTGTTTGATATGTTTTTCAAATAAAACAGAAGACATTAAATTTAATAGTATTACATGCGAATAAATTATTAAAAACAGGTTCACTTAATCATATATATTCCTTTAAATTACGTGCTACAAAAAAGGAAAAGTCGATGATTTATTTCAGAAAACGAATAGTATAGTTGAGACATTGGACTTAAGGTATTCTACCCATTTCGACTCTAAACAGTTTACTGTTATAGAGTTACTGAATTTAAGAATTTTTTTTCCATAGTAATCCTATTGAAATTCATTTCTTTTACTTAACGGAATGCAAAATATCAGTTTTTTTCAAATCCCAATTGCTAACGACCTCCCTCTAACTTGGTTCAATCGGGCTGAAATTTTTACCGCAAATAATGAAAGTATTCTCGCACAGATAAAATTGACTTTTTTCTTTTTTGAATTTCCTGCTCGAACTTATAGGATTCTGAAAGTTAATACTTCGGCTTTGACTCCGAGCCTTACGTATTTCTCTCAGAAAAAAAAGAACAGACGATTTTTGAAAATACCTTTGAGACATAGTCTTAGGTATCTCTAAAAAAGTTTTCAACTGAATCGAATAAAATTTGATAGGGTACCTAATATACTAGAATGCACTCCTATGGAAAACTAGGATTTTCCTTCGAACACATGTCTCTTTATTTCAAGTGCTCTATTTGTGATAAAAATCTCAATATGGTTGGTTGTACTCTCTTTGAGAATCCGAAATGATTAAACAAAATGAGCAGGGAACTGGATACTCTTAAATTTGATTGAGTAATTAAATCATTCGGTTAAAGAAATATATATTTTTTCTTTTTTTTTCATATGAAATAAATATATACAGTAATGGGCCAAGAACCTCCGTTATGTCAACTATCCTATATGCTAGAGGTCAAAAAGTTTGTGTACATATACTACACTACAAAGGTAGGTCACAAGCACGAGCTTGTCTCAATTGCTTAAATACACGAAGAACTATGATGAAGGGCAACTATCTTCGTTTCAAGCATTAAAAACATTGTATACTAAATTTAACGGTACTCATAATCGAATACATGACTTATTCTTAATATTGTAGCATGTAACTGAAACTTAGTCCATGCTGTTTCTACATGCTTCTGAGGCCTCAATATCGACATGATGACTATTCATTTGCAATTTCTATTTAGTAGAAGATTACTTTATGAAACCTGTAGGCAATTAACACTCAACTATAGCCAGTGCTCGATTCGTCGAACTATTACCTAGTGACGATATTCAAAAGCTAGCAGATAGTTTTTTCCCACACTTGAATTATCATAGAAAAATAGTCACAATTATAAATAGAGTTGATGATAGGGCTCCGAGTCCCGATGGAACAATCTAGTCCTATTCTATACGGTAAATATTTCTTTTTCTGAAATAACCTGTGAGATAGAATGAAGTTCTCATCCCTAAGACTTTCTTCTTACAAAAAAATGTAGACTCAACATACTTGATATGAATCAGGAGTAATAGAATTTAATAAAAATATTCTGATAAACCTCATGAAGATTGTTCTCTTGTTTTATATTTAAAATACTGTGTAACATTTATAAGTCGATAAAAAAAACGAAAATATAATACAGATTCAAATGATTAAATAGTGACAAATAGTTGAGAATGTTCTTTCTGCACAGGCAGCACTTGAAAAGTATCAACACAAGAAAAAAGTGAAAATAAAAGTCTCTGAGTAAAACAAAGGGCATACTTCAAATAAAAAAGAAAGAGAAGAAAACTTTGAACTTTTCGTTCTTATCATTTAGAAAGTGCTTAAATTTAACAAGTTACTAAAACGCTTCAGAAATTATAGAAAATTGGTTGAATAGTTTTTCAGTTAATAATTCATATAATTTAAATAATATAGATTATGTTTGTTCATAAACCATAAATGCACGTAAAAATGGAAAAGGGTGTGGATGTTTATGAATCATTTTTTCTCATATTGTCATTGTTGGGAATCATTAGTGTGCATTGAATCAGTAGCAGAAAAATATGAGAGTAGCGAAAAGGTTTAAAAAAACCTACTGCCAATATATCATGTCTATGGCTAGATTGAAAATATTGTGTCATATATATTATGATTAATTTTCGATGATTAAAATATAAAGTTATGTTTTATGTGTATTTAAGATAGTCGTTCGAAAACTGCGTAGAGCGAACAGTTGTCTTTTGAGATATATGTGAGTTGAACATCTATATTAACTATGTCAAATCATTAATATAACAATAAATTTTTTTTTTATATGATAATGTAAGTTAATAAAATACATTATAATTAGAACATCATATCACAAAATATTCATTCTGATTTGAATGTATGATAAACATACGAATTATAAAATTATCGATCCTTTTTCGAATATTTGAAATGAATATGGTTCAAGAGTTTGACTAAGGCATGTCACGTTCGAAATAATATATTCTTTCTTTTTCGGATGTGATCTTATTTGATGTTTTTCATAGATTTTTTAATATATTGTATGTCATTATTTGCTACTCATAATTTAATGCAAACTTATAGTCGCTTATTATTACTACGGTTTCGTACCAAGATAATCCTATTTTTTAGTTATTGTATTCTTTAAATAACGATGTTTGTAAATTGAATCATTCGTATTTAAAGTTCATTTTAATTCAATATATTCTGTAAGCACTACATATTGCGTTTAATTCAACGTATCCGCAGTATCTATCTACTGAGTACATTTTAGTAACCAAAAGTTGTTTTTAAGTGTTAAAAAAATCAAATTTACCTAACGAAAACAGAAAATTGCGTTTTTCTCAAAGTAACTTTTTCAGGAAAAAAAAGTGCACCGGTGTCTCCGTTTCTACGACTTACTGTAGTATGTGTTATTAAAAGCTGAATCCTTTTTCTGCATATACGATACACTATTTGGGATGGGTGTTTTGTTTTTGTTTCAAAAATTATCGTTCTGCTGATTTTTGACAGTTCTATCCAAAAAAACGTGCAGTGTTTTGGGTATCTTCGATATTCTGGCTTCTTCATTTGAAGAACAAAAAGTAAGAAGACACTCACCTTAAACAGTGTTTAGTGTTTTTAAAAAAGCTCTCAGTTCGATCGAACATACCATCTTGAAGAGACGAGAAAGGAGGCATATTTCGCCATTATGGTTCCAGTATCTTACAGAAGACAGCATTCGAGAACTTTACGCCTATGACAACTTTTGCTCTGCTCGTCAAGATCGTTCTGTCCTAAATATTTCATATCTTTCTTATGAGCAATTTCTCTAGAAAGTCTGAAAAAAACGGTGGGGGGGGGACTTAAGTATCATAAATGGATGGCTTTTAATACTATATCAAATGTTAAATAAGGGATAAAACTGATAAAAAACTATCCATTATTTCTATTGATATTCTGTCGTCTGCTAGGATATCTAATTACAGACGTTGAAAAAAGCTGCTTTCTCATAAAAACATTTGTTATCTAAAGATAGATAATTTCATTGTTTCTTTTGTCTACATTCGAAATGAAGAGTATGTATGGAATACATTCAAATTTAATTTGAAAAAATTATCAATAGACTCTTCTAACACAGTTGCCAAAGCAGTTGATTTAGAAATTCGAAATAGAATTAAATAATACTCGTGAAGATTATTCAATTTCTTCATATTGTTTTACTCGATGATTCAAAATGACTTGGTTTTTATTATCTTCTTGTTGATAAGTGACCTTTGTGTCTTACCATTTAATATTTATTATGAAGTCAAAATGATGTTATCTTAATAGAAGTCCTTTCGTTGTCATATATACAAGGCAGATAAAAACTGCTGACATATATGATTACAATATTTATTAGACTCCCTCGATTTCTTTCTTTATGAAATACTATTTACATTTGATCCAATGACTTCACGAACTATTCAATGTTGTTAAATCTCAGTTAATAGTGAGTTTTTACATACATAACTGATTTAAATTATTTTAATCTTTGAAACTTTCCCATAAATGCGATACATATTGAAAGAGTTCTACACACTACAGACTTTGTTTCTCAAAAAATTAAACACACTTCAAAATGATACATATTGTCAACAATAAAGTTAAGAAAATTAAATAACCTCGAGAAAGAGGATTTCTAAAGTACTTTCAGATCAGCAAATATGCCACTGTCATATCTCAGAAGTACAACTACATTATTAAAACCATAGCTGGTCATACAAATGTCAAGTAGAGTATGACTGCTGGAATTATTAACTACTATAGATTATAGGTAAACACCAGTTGGATATATTGTTTGATGTGTAAAAGAGTTCAGACCATTTTCGAAAAAAATACTAACATTATCAGACCTTAAATTGATAACAGTAATGTCTATGTCATGTGTCGTTGTTGAAATCACCGATAACTAGATACTGTGAGCGAGACCTCGATGAATATGTAGGTTAAAGCACAAAAGAGTCTTTCTCCTAATCGAGACATACATTTACACTGCCACTATAATCATTAGTGGGAATCATATCCAATTGATTGCCGCTATCGAACTTAATACCAGTCGAATACGTCCATTGATTTCGCAAAAACGTCTATAGCTATAAGCAATAAATATATCTACATTATCAATGTCAATATATGCAACAACGGTCTGCAACTGTTCGTCATTGTTGCAATCATCGACAGAAATAACGAAGGAAACGAAATCGAAATTCATCCCATGACTTTCTTGAGACACAAACGACGTTTTCGTATTTTCAAGAACTAGATAGACATTTTTACTATCAAAATTGGGAACCGCAATATCTAGTTGAACAGCTTTATTGACATAAGCAATGCTGATTGAATAATAATTTACACATCATCTTTCTCTTGCTATCGTATTATCTCAACCATCGTGGAACAAATATTTTCATTTAACTCCTCATCCGAAACTGTCATGTTATGGTTATCTCTAGCATGAATTTTCTTAGAAATCACTTTAACATTACTAAAATATTATCTTCTCATTAAGAATGTTTGTTAACCCTTTGAGTCCCGGTGGGATATATACATTCCACCTAAAGAAAACTTCTAATTTTCAAAACATTTCACGAGTGTTTGCGGTTTTTAAGAACCAGAAGGAAGCCTTTGAACATATATTTTTTATTAAGAAATATTTGAGCGAGATTTTATAGATATTCATAAGAATAGACAATATCAAAAAGTGTATTATGGTAAGTTTATTTATTAATTTCAGAAAGGAGGAGTTCCAAATTATGGACTTGGTATCTCAAAACGCCTCAGTCTATTTTTATTATCCTAAGAATTAGCATTCATTCCTAATTATTTTTCACAAGTTTATTTTACGTTTTGTAACCACTCATTTTTTCATGCCTGGGGTCCCCCAGGGATTAAAAAAAAATTTTGTCGCCGTTCTCTTAGATGTCGTTATAGTTTGATAGAGCTCAGTTTGCTGATTACAAATATCATGTTTTTTCTAACAATTAGTCGGATAATAAGAAAGATCTGAAGCACTTTCTGAAAGCCCCCAAAACCAGTTTTTGATATGAACGTCCATGAAAATCCTATTTGAATTAAACAAAAACAGGCTTCTTCGACGCAGAATTTTTTTCTCTTCCAGAATCTATAAGAATCCTTAAAATATTGAAAACTTTTTCTATCGATAACTGTCGAATACCGCTCCGATTAGGCCCTATTGCTATGAAGAATGACTTTTCCTCTCCTTAGAGGTTATTGTTTATACGGGTATACCAGCGAGATTTTTTTATGGAATACGTAATTTGAAATATTCTTTCAAATGAAACTATTTTCAACTTGAAATTCAATGTCTAGTGAATCACTTTCTGTCGAACTCCTATCCTCAACATTCATTTTTGCTCTTTTTGACTAGTATTTGACACTGTTCGACGAGAATAAAGTTGATTTGACTTCAAACAATTATCATATTCTGAATCAGCACACAAAACTGCGTCGATCTATATATGTTTCATATCGTTTTTGCGACTTTCATTTTTCATCACATTTTGGTCCCCCTCAGGAATATGCCAAAAAGTGAATTTAATTAATTGTAACCTAACCAGAGGTTTCGCAGTATCATCTAGCTATTTAATAACATGTTTTATCAAATCTAAATTCGGTAAAAAAAAGTCAGGACTCAAAGGGTTAAATAGCAAATACTAGTCTTGATACATCCATTCTGAAAGTTTTAGATCTGCAGTGCTGAATGAAATCAAGTTATCCGTACAACATAGATTCACTTCTCGACACTCTTGATGTGAACGGTCGGTACTCATACTCGACTCGTACTTGGAGCCGCCACGACTGAGTGACAACGTTATTCGACACGTATCCTCAAGGTGCTATGTTCAAATATTTTCTATTACCACCCATGAAATAATCCTGGGCAAATTATTGATGGCTGCTTGTTTCGGACTACTCGTCCGATAATATGTTCACTATGTTGTGACATATATGTGCTCATCAACTAGTATGTAGTTAGTTAGTGTGTATAGGTACGAGATATTGAGCTATTGAATCTGCCGCTAGGCAATGGCTATATTGTGTAGTAGCAAAATGACAAATAAAAACTATTTTTATTGTGTATTTTCACTGAATAAACTTTTCACAAGGGAAAAAAGATGTGTGAATCATAACTCGAGGAATTAGTGCTTTTGATCACGATTTATTGTTGCCTGCATGCTTTCAATATATCAGCTCAATATCATACAATATATTAGCATCTCATAAGGGGACAGTGATTTTTGGTCATGATTGTATTTCATTATAAAGTTTAAAGAGTAAAATTTAAATTAAAACTTTTCATATCAATGTTTGTTTTTAATAACAAAAAACAATGCTTAATATGTCACCTAATGCCAATATATTTTATTGATTTTCTGTAGACATAAAAAAACAGTATACACAAAAAAAGACAAAACAATAAACTAGCATAGAAGCTATTACAATACAACAATAACGATGTTTCGTCAAAAGAAAAAAACAATACTAAATCCTAACAGATTAGTGACATATACTATTAAAGACAACATATGAATAGATCTAATTGACTTTTTTGGCTTTTTGATTTTTTCCATGAGATTTTTTATAGATGTATGAACCAAGAAAAAAATGGGCAAATAATACGAAATATGTTCCGTACATAACAAATGATACTTTTAAATTTTCATCAGTGACTTGACATGATTCACCATTCTTTTTATATTCCCAGGCTTTAATATTAATAAAACATCCAACAACCATTTGTATTAATTGAAGTAATGTTACTATCATTGATACCCAACGTGGTATAGGAATTCTCATAGCACGGAATGCATAATACTAAAAATAAACTAAATATATCTTAGAAGAAATTTTCATATTACTTACCGAATACATAACTCCATGAACAACATAATTCAATCCGCAAAACCATCTAAAGTAAGAAAAAAATTTATTATTTTCTTTTAGTTTTTATTATGACGAGTGATGAAAGATAGCGCTGAAAACTCTACAAACAATGATATAATTTATTTAACAAATATAATTTCCATTAAATGTAATCATATAATAAAATCAAGTATAGTATTGTAAATTTTTTTCTTTTTCGATGTTTCTTTTTACAGAGTATTTTATTGCGTCTGTCAATTTTTTCTTTTTTGTTTTATGTGCTTGCAATTCATAAGTTCAGTCAGTTCATTCCATAAACTAATTACAATTCTTAGAACGAAGAAGGCTGACAAGAAAAATACTATTCATATAAAAATAAAATTTCCAGTTAAAGTAATAGTGCAATTCGATGTATGTGCACTTTTTTTTGTAGTCGAGTTCGAACCGGATCGGAGTTAGTCGATATCTGATAGAGGCTTCCCCGTAGTCACAGTACGTTTTTCAAACTATTATTTTATATGCAGCAGTACACTACTTAGTTTCTTTCATAACGAGCAACAAAAAAAAAAAAAGTAAGTGAATCAGAATGCACTTGGTTTCTTTCTGCTTCTAAAATCCGATTAATTTAACATAAATGAATGCTTTTTCCGTCACAATAACACATATTGACCTATTTTAATATAGTTAGTCTTACGATAAAACAATATTGATTTCCATTTCTATGACCTGTTCTCAAGTACAATAAACTGCTCAACTTTTCACTTCTGTCCTTTTATATAAAAGCAGTTTAGAAAAGTAAAAATATTTTTAAAATGTTGAGATGTCATTAATTTTCAGGTCAGATCTTCGTATGACATCATATTCGAGACCTAAATATATGCTTCGAGTCCAATACTAGTGCACTGATCATTTTCTTATATATACGTATATCCCGAAGATCCATTCGTCATCAAAGTCATCTGATTTATGGCCATTAGATTACAGCTTATGGAATGAACCGGCCGAAGCTATATATTGGGCCCATAGAACAGTAAAGACAATATTGTGAGACAAAATAAAATACCTTGTCAAGAAAAACAAAATTCAAAAAAGATCAAATTTTATTGTACAAAACTATTCATTAAATAAATTACATAATTTTGTGCAGAATTTCAAGGGCTATTTTGTGATCAAAAGAGTGTTTCAATGACGAAGAAAATAGAAGAGAAAATCCCAAAACATTAAAAGTATAATTCATTACGGGTCATTCATTACTTACCGTCCTGTTGAACTGTAATCTTGATAACTAAACCAACAATAAACTAATACAGATGCATGATGATACCAGTGAAGAAATATTAATGGTTGTTTGCGAAGAACTATAAAAACTGTGTCGATTAATTCCGGTAATTTTGAAAAACAAAAAGCCCATGTCCTAAAATAGATCATCATCATCATCATTATCATCAGAAAAAAAAACCAAAAGACAGTTTCCTACCAAAATCCTACAACACCAAATGCATTTGAATTATTACAAATAGAATATTTTATTCCATGTCTATAAATAACATAAATCAATTCTGGTAAAACTCGAATTGCTCCAAATATAGAAAATAAAGCAAGTAATGCACTCCATGCAGCTAACCAAAAACGTAATTCAAATCGAGGCTTATTCTTCATATAAATTTGACCAGCTAAAATAAAAGAAAATTTTCAATACAAAAAAAAAATAAAAACAAACAAACAAAATTCTTTTGATTATAATTTTACCATAAATTAATAATAAATATGCAATAGCATAGAAAAAACTATTATGCCAACGTTCAATCATAAATAAACGTAAATCATGTAATGCACTTATTTTATCACTATATCGTTCAAAATCAAATACATAATATGTAAGTGGTGTTTTATCTGATGAAAGATCATGTGTTGTTGATTTCAAATCATTTGTTAATGAACTATTAAATTGTTCGAAATAATTTGATATATGTGACACCAAAGTAACCATTTGTTGATGTTATTTATACTCGAAATATCTATAAGAATAATGTTAAAAATTTACAACCTCTATATATATGTATAAACATTTCTCTTCCAAATGATTAAAGACAAGTACCACGATCGTACGGCATAGTAGAATTCAAATCAAATGATAGCAGTCAATCTTTTTCTTTTTGTGATAGGTATTTTAAGATTTGTGTCGACAATTTATCTTTAAAAAAATATAGAGATTACACATTAAACTGTATACTTACGTATAGAAATAAATAAATGATATCACATGGTTATTTCACGCGCTAGTCATATATCAAAGGACTTTATACTATTAACCTACAGAACGAACGAAATGAATGAAAAATGTTCTACAAAGTAGGGCTATGAATGTTAAAGACGTAGTAACAAACTGTAAATCATAAAGAAGAAAAAAACATGTCGGTACACAATGCAAAACAAAATACTTTTCTTTCGATTTATTGATTGTTTTATCCATAATGTTGATTATTCTAAAATTTAACAACATATTTCCGAGTTTGTTTATCTTCTTTTTTTTTTTTTTTTATTTATATACATCGAACTTCGCAAGAGAGAAACAAAAAAAATGTTTATTTATTTGCTCTAGTTCACTGTAATAGACACAACAAAAAGAAAATAGGAGACAGCATGAGAATCACATAGCATATTTTTGTGTCCATTGTCGAGCAGTCTAAATTTAAGAACAAAAAATGAAATTAAAAATTTGAGTTCAAATGACTCGTTTTTTTTTCTAATTACTGCATTATATGCTTCTCGATCTTGTTTATATTGTCTAGCGATTTCTGGTACAAGTGGATCCTTAAAAAACCAAACAACAAAAAACAAATAAATAAAAATATATTGAAATTCAAACATACATCAGGATTTGGATCGCATAATAATGAACAAATAGATAATAAAACTTTAGAAATTGTTAATGCTGGTGACCAATTGCTACGAAGAATATCAAGACAAATTGCACCATTTGCGTTAATATTTGGATGATAAATTTTCGTCGTAAATCTAAAATATAAATAAAAAACAATTTTTTTTCTTTATTTGAATAAATATGCAAAAAAAAAAAATAAATTTACGTGATTTTTGGTGGTTTAAATGGATAATCCGTTGGAAAATTTATCGATAAAAAAAATACACCAGATTGATATGGTGAATCGCCTAATTAAAAAATACAAATACAAATACAAAAAAAAAAAAAGTTCAATTTATTTATTTCGTACTAGGACCAAGAATTGTTGCTTGCCAATTAAACATATCATTTGGTTGTACCTTTATTTAAATAAACATAAATTAATTTTTTACATTAGAAAATAATTCTTACCGGTCCAGCACTGACATTAGCTGGTGGTTCACGTTGTAAATCTTGTAATTCTTTTGATATACGTTTGAGTGCCATTTTCAATTTATCTAAATTTTTATTTATTTTAAAAATTAAAGAGTTCTCATTTATTTAAACGTATGAAAATCTTTTTTTCTAGTCTTATCTTTGATAAATACAATGGAAATAAATATAAATATACTTGATGAATTGATTTAGAACTATAGAATAGATTTTAAAGTTTAGAAATGAAACAATAGTGATAATCTTTAAAATAATTGAGAGTTTAAAACAATAGCTGAAAATAACAATAGAACAAAGATTTATATGTTCATTGATAAGTTTAATTTCAATTTGACATATAAAAAATTAAAAAATATATTATGCAGTCGTTCAATATAGAAACTTCATTCTAGAATAAATTGAACATTTCTTTTACATGAAAACTCTTAATCTGAAATTGAAAATAAATTAACTATCTGTATCAATTAAATATTATTCGATATCTCAAGCAAAATCATATAAATAAAAATGAAAATTACTAATTTCCTAATATAGAAACTCTACCATATGTTTTTAAATATTCATTAAAAAACAAGAAGTATAAAAAAAAAAAACGACAAAGTTTCGATTTACATTATTATTAATTATTGAATGTATGATGATTATCTTATTAACTCATTATAAATATATTCTAACTTATCCTATAATTCCCTTTAGTAATATTTCGAAGATTTCTATTTCAAGATGATCTATCATTATACTAATCATATTAAATAACACATAATCAGAAATGTTAATTAAAAAAATAAAATAAAATGTCTAGAAGTTTATTAATAACTGCAACTAACAGTGATAGACTGATGTAACACAAAAACAAAATAAAAGTTACGTCATTATAACATAACGTAAGTCTTATTCATGTACCATAAAAAGTTTTTCATCGGAAGTTTATTTTTTCGAAAAAAAAAAACATGAAATCAGATCAATGCTATCATAAAAAATGAATTTCATTTTCAATACCAAAATTTCAAAATTTAATGATTCATTTTTTCTTTCATGAGAAATTACATCTTGTCGAAATTCTGAATTTTTAAACCTGATATATGCTTTCGAAATAGAATAGAAGTTTTATTTGATTTATTTTTTAAAAATACTATCATAACAAAACATAACTAATAGATGTTTGATATATACAACATATATCCATAATGAATTTTACTTACTTGTTCGAATATGAAATTTATGTTTTAGGCAATTCGATAGCAATCAAATCTAGAAAAAAATCGAAAAACAATCTCTAATTTATATTTTTTTTCTACTAGAAAGAAGAGGTTGAATGGGAATATTTTTGTATCAGCAAAATATCATGGGTTAAAGAGGTAGTAACATTGTTTTTAGCTTTTTCCTTTTAAAGACAAAAAAAAATTGAAACATAAAGTAATCAGTTTGTTATTTTCTTTCTTTTTTTCTTTTCTCTCGAATAGTTGGTAAATACATGACATGAATTTCGTTGAAATTGTTTAGTCAAAAAGAAAACGAGATAGACAAAGACAATAAACACACGCAGACAATGAGCAACGAAAGAACAAAAAAGAAAAAACAAACAAATTTAAGTACATAGATAATTTCGTCAATGTATCATATAGTTGAGAAATAACAGAGATTTTTTATCTAGCAAACATTGTTGTCAGTTTTTTTTTTTCTTTTTTTGCTCATCTTTCATAACATAGACATACAAACATCGTACATACATATACACACACATAGACAATAGAAAAAGATGTTAAGATAATAAAAAAAAAAAAGAAAATTCTATGTCTTTCCATCTTCATTCCAACACACACAGACAGACAGAAAAAAAAAGAAAGATGCGAACTTAAAACGTAAAGAGGAGAAAAAAAAAGTAAATGTGTGCTATTGAAAAAAAAGAAAAAAAGAAAAAGAAAGGAACAAACAAACAAGAAAAAAAGAGAAAGTTGTTTTATATCAATTTATTTATGTCTCTTTTCTTGATGATTATTTGTTGCACAATTGATCATGTCTCTGAAATTCTTTTTACATGGCATATTTTTGAGTCCACTGTCGCGCCGTCTAAAAAATACAAAATAAAAACCCATTTACAATTTATAAGAAAATACAAAATCCTTTTCATAAATATACATACAGCATTATATTTCTCCTTATCCGTTTTATATGTACGAGCAATATCAGGTACTAATGGGTCCTAAAATAAAAAATCCAAAATTTTTTTTAAAACGAAAAACAAACACTTTTTTTTTTTTGTTTTCAATTTTACATCAGGATTTGGATCGCAAAGTAGTGAACAAATTGATAGTAACACTTTCGAAATAGTTAATGCCGGCGACCATTGTGAACGAAGAATATCAAGACATATAGCTCCATTTGAATTAATATTTGGATGAAAAATTTTCGTTGTAAATCTAAAAATAAAACAAGTTTTTTTTCTTTACGTTATTTGAATCAATATCGAAGACAAAAAAAAAAAAGAAGATATTTACGTGATTTTTGGTGGTTTAAATGGATAATCGGCCGGGAAATGTATTGAAAGAAAAAATACACCACCTTGGAATGGACTATCACCTGGTCCCATTATAGTTGCCTGCCGTAAAAAACCAAACATATAATTCTATGAAAAATTATAATCGAAAATACTTATAATGAAACATATCGTCATTAACAGGACCAGCGCTACAATTAGCTGGTGGGCTAAAAAGAAGAAAACAAATTAATTTTTGATTTCATTAATCATAAACTTACTCTTTTTCAAGTTCAAGTAATTCTTTATTGATACGTTTTAATGCCATTCTACGAAAAAAGCTAAGATACAGTGATATGGAGATATATTATATATATATATATATATGTATGCAATTAGGTAATTTGTACTTTTTTTGAAATTGCTGTACAGCAAAAATAAGGAGTCAAAAAAGATCTAGAAAAAAAAAACAAAAAAAAGGTTTTTTCCTTTTTCTTTATGTTTACCAATGTGTGTTTTTTTCCTTTTGTTGTTACTAATATATGGAGGACATAGAAGACAACAATGTCGACGAAAAGAAAAAGAGGTTGCAACACACAAGCATTTACTGCCGAACGCAAGTTCGCCTTCTACGTACGTTCTAATAGTGAAGAAAAAAAAAGAATAAATAGAAGAAGAAAAAAGCGCTGACGACCAAGCTGCCGATTTCTATATGGGGTAGTAAGGGGAAATAAACAGAACGAAAGAGAAAAAAAAAATCAAATTATTATGGGGCTAACAATGTCAGATGATCGAAATAGATGTTAAATGTTGAACAAAAGAAAAATAAAAACAAAAAAATAAGAATGTTCTTTATTTCGAAACAGTTCTCTTTTTTTTATTATCTTCATTAAGCAAAAAAGAAAATAAAATTAAAATAAAAGTTCGAAAGGAAAAAATTTGAATAGAAGAAAAAAAAAAAAAATAGAATTTTTGGACTATTTAAAAAACTAATAATACATTATGATTGTTGTAAATTCTCGATTGTGTTATCTTATATTTTGAAGCTCAACTTACATATAGAAAACCATCTGCTATCAAACAAAAAAATGAGTGTTATACCGAACGTTTTTCTCTTTCTTCCGATGTACTTTTTGTGTGTCTGGATTTAACATCACCGGATAGAAAACATATTTTTTAAATAGTACATAGCGCTTACTATCGAATGTTCAAACTTTCATATAAGACATATGTAAAAATAATTATTTATATTAATAAAGAATTTTTTTTAAATTAATAAGAAATGGATTGTTAAAGACAAATAGAATTTTTATATGGAGGAAAATAGACGAAAGTAATGACGTATAGAGAATGATGTCATTATCGATCAGCTGTTAGTTATTATAGACGTAGATTTTTAGTTTGTTTCATTTTATCTCTTGTTTTTGAAGTCTTATGATAACATGATTGTGTTTTTTTTTGTTTAATTCAATACAAAGATCAAAGCACAAAATTTAGAATTAATATCAGTAGCAAGAATTAATGGTTTCTAAAATACAAGTTCAAAAGCTTTGGATTTTGGTAAAAAAATTTGAAAGTTATTGTTTTCTTTTTTGTCATGATTAACTATCGATTACATCTGGGAACGTTTCAAATTCAAGATCAACAAGGGGCTATCACTTTATTGTTGTTGAGGTACTATATTTTTTAGCAGATTGCCGTGATCTCTCGTAGAAAAATTGAGTTTTCTTAATGAGAGAATAGTCTATTGTAAAACTTTCAGATCTTTTGATTGTTTCTATCCTAAGCTACGACTATGGTAAAAGAATGTTTTTTCATGTTGCTTATGTTTTGATACTCTTATTTCAGAGTAGACAAAAAATCTGAAACTTTCACGATAAGATATATCCGTTAAGATCTGTCTCGGTACAAAGTTTCAAGTCTCAATCCGGAATTCAGTTTTCCTGAGAGGGACTACCGTATTTTGCTAAAAAAAAAATACAGTATCTCGACGACAATAAGTTTTAGCGCGAAATCTATTCAGGATGTTCATAAGTCATTAGACTTTACATGATGAACATAGTTCAAACTTAAAAGCGATTCGACACTTGAGAACGTTCTATCGTCAGTCTACTAATGAATTTTTTCTTACAGGGATCATCGCAATAGTTTATGCCAAAGATGGGAGTGAAATAAATCTTTGAATAAATAACAAATAGTAAATGTCTGTGAACCAGAGCTGTTGCCGATCTGGCAGGCCAGCCAGACTCTTACGTTCCGGAAATCAATTATTGATGTATTGCCTTATTATTTGATAGTACTTTGACATATTCATTCTATTTCATCAATAAATGCTTTAACCCGAACGTCAATTTAGTGTTGAAGGACTTAGATTGGCTAACAGAAGAACTGGCTTAGATAAAAAATAATTGAATAGAAAATTTCACCTTCGTTCTGTTGAGAAAATTGATTGTTAAATGTAAATGTCCTTGCATGTTATTATAAGTATCATTTATTCTTTACATTTTCTTGTACTTCGTCATTGTATCCCTAACCATATGTTGTTTTTGCTATTATGATTACGTTTTTTTTTTGATTATGCAAAACAGATTGATATTATCAAAAACATGTTGTGTTAATTCAAGCCTTTCTTTTATGAAAAATATTTATGATGTTTTTGTCTTTGTTTTAATTTTCTATTTCATACAAAGACTCGTTATTATCTTATCTTGCTAGAATTAAATTAAGTGAACAATTAAAACTAGAACGATATATATTAATGCTGAGTAATACAAGTAAACATTTTCGAAAAACCAGAAAAAAAGGTAATCTATTGAAAGCTCCACTCAGAGCCAAGATAATATGTTCATAAACTGTCTGTAGTTTTTGATGAAGTTTCCTAATAAAACTTATAGTATGTTTTACTTGCTTGTATTGTTGAGTTTCGCTACAAAAAGACAAGACCTCCAGATAAAGCTCTATCAAGTATACCAGTTTTGAGGGTAGTTTGATTTAATTTTTGCATTCGTTTTATAGAAATATTGTGTTACGGAATCTTATTAGTATCTGAAAATTGTGATAAAACTGAATACTTAGTTTATTAAAACTTCGACTTTGATTTTTTCTAAGGTTGAAAAATTTTTCTCTTAGATTTTAGTAATACATACATCATTCGATGCAAAACTTGACGTTGACGACAAATATTTAGTTGGTTTTATTCTGCTTAAATTTCTGCTTTTTTTTTGGGATATTTTTTCAATAATTCACTTATAACATTCAAATCCATATTGTATTGATTTAGCAAATTTTGTTAATGTTCAAGATATTGATGCAGTTTTATATATTACAAAAGTAACTATTGAATGAAAATGTAGATCATAGCAAATTTAACAACTGCAGCTAATTATTTTCATATTCTTCATTACCCATTAGCCCTTCTATTCTGTAAATTATCAGTAATAGTATCATCAACATCATTACTTTATTTACCTGAAGGTTATTCATCATTGAATGCAACGATCAATGATACAAAAAAAAAAAAAAAACCAAAGATACATATAAAACACTATATGTCATTTGTATTTAAGAAATAAGTTTTAAACACGTTTATACCGAAGTGAATGAAGATGAACGAACAAACAAGTAAACGTGAATGATAAATGACTATTATGTATATTGAACAATCATATTCATTTCTATTTGAGGTCAAGAACATGTTAAAAACTTCAGTCTTTTTTTTTTTAAAGATGCGTCATTAAATGTTTATCCAGTCTTTATAGCTGTTTGTGAAATTTGAACAGCCTGTTAATACTAAATACGTGTTATTTCCTACAAGAAAAAAAAAATCGAAAAACTCCATCTTGTAAAATTATTTTTAATCAAATTAATATTCGATAAAAAGGACTCGCTTAGGTACTGTAAAAGATTAAAACGTTCGTCACTACATGAAGGCTTTCTATGAAATCAGTACAATTTTTTCTTTAATTTGTTTTCCATTACCTTCAAATAAAGGCAAGTTTTCATTATTAAGCTTAATTCTTTTTTACTTTACTTTTCAATAGGTGAATGAATCTAATCTAGTGATTTGTGCATTGAGGTCATTGCTGTTAGACAATGTACTTGAGAACAAAATAGTAAAGAAAAAACGTTTTATGTCAAGGCAAAGCGTCCAGGTCAATTAACACAGACGTTATTTTTCACTTGTATTTGAGAAAAGGATGATTAATATTTCTCATGTTTTGAAGAACATAATAGGTCTCACATTGGTTCCAAACATGATAGTCAAAGAAATTGGACAAATAATTATCAAAAACAAAAACAAAATTCAACAATTTTTGACTGTCCCTTATTTTCTTCATGTAGGAAATAACACAATGATACCAGTGGCGTAGCCAGGAATTTTATAAGAAAGGTACCCGCTTCATTATGGAGGGTGCACACCAACAGAAAAATTAATTTTTGTTTCTCGGAAAGATTTTTCATCCATACCCCCACTCCAGAGGTTTCTTGGCCAAGGGGGTGCCTGGGTACCCTGTGTACTCCTTCACCCACTGGTTACGTCTCTGAATGATACACACGTTCAATTCTACTGCTCTATAAAAATTTCGAAAATAATGATCAAGATTTAGTCTTGTGATCCGAATAAAACATTCAATAGCATGTCTTTAAAAAAAAAAAGATCTACGTGTTTATCATGTTCCTGAATAGAATTACATGTAAAACAAAAAATGTCACAAAAATTTTGCCATATCTCTGGTATAAACAAGTGAACATATGTTTTACACAAAACAAAACAAAAAAGTATGAAATCAGTAAGTTCTTTTTCTTCTAGGGTCAAATTCTCTCGAAATGGTAATCATCTATTTAGTATAGATTTTTTTCAAAGCACACCTTGTTTCTCTCGTCCTCAAAATATTTTCTTGATCTCCTTTAGGAATATGAAATTTTTGTTTTGATAACTATGCGAAACGAGATTCATTTTGCGGCAACAACCACTAGAATCAAATCAACACATTTGACGAGTGAATGTATAATATGCATGAAGCAATAAAAATAATAATAATCAAATATTTGTTCTTTTTTTTTTTTCTTTATATTTAACCGAATTGTTTTTCTCGAAAATGTTGTTTTTTTCTTGTATATAAATGATGAAGAGTAAATTTTTTTGTAAGTAAAATATAATCAAGTCATTAAAATCTATCTACAGTATTTTTCTTTCCCTTCTAGTAGGCTGCTTATTAGTATATAAAGGAAATAAGAATAATTATATCTGAACAAAAGAAAAAAAAAATAATCGAATGTTTGAAATATAGAAGAAAATTGTTCGTAATAAAACGATAATGATTAAATAAAATTAAGTTGTTTCAATGTAATATCGGGATTGAGAACTTTCTTGAACTTTTGATGGTGACGCAAAAGCGGATGTGAAACCTTCAGAAGAGCTTGTTTTAGTAGTAGTAACAATAGCTTCACTTGGTATTGATGTTGATTCAATAGTAACATAATTTCTTCCACGATCCGCATTTGTATTTAATGCATTGAATGTTTTTTGTGTTGTACCTAAAATTAATATTCTATGAAAAATTAAAATAGATCTTCTCCTTTTTTTTTTGTCCTACTACACATTATAACTAAAGTCAAATTCATATTTCGACTTTTAAAACGAAGAACAATATACTTGTAATAGTTATGATGATCGTCAATATGAACTAGGGAAATATCTCGTCGGATGAGATAAATGGGATTCGGGACTGTGCCATAGGACTCTATGCATCACGTTAGACCTTATCATGAAGACCGATGAGTATACGATAGTCTCCGAACTGATTAATAGCTTTTCGAGTCGAAATAATGTAGATATTAATGAATTATGAATATTTTGTGAAGAGTTTGAGCCCTTAGCTTATTTCGGCAAGAATATTTCATTTTTATGCTATTCTGTAAATTAATGCTGTGCGACCTTTAGAAATCTGCAGACTGGGACAAACGGAATTTGAGATTTCTCGTCAGAGACATCGAGAAAACTCATTTTTTGAATATTAACTTGAAACTTTGTACAATGCCAGATCTTTATGACAGTAATTTATTGTGAAAATTTCAAGTTTTTTCATTATTTCTATCCTAAGATACGGTTAAGATAAAAATGCGTCTTTTACATCGCTTATATTTACATCGACAGACTCTATGTTATTATTTCCATATAGGAATAAATAAAAAGATTCGAAACTTTTTATAATAAACTATGCTCTTTAAGACTTGCTACTATATAAAATTTTCAATCGAAATTGAAAAAGAAGTTTTTGTTGATATTTCTAAAGGAGTCCGCGATACATTGGATTAAACAATACTGCATTCGTAAAAATTGGTTAAAAATCCAAGCCCTTCTTGTTAGTATCTATATGATGTACATAGTTTCGATTCAAAAGTTGATTTGTCAAAGCGAAATCTTCACTTGTTAATATGAATACTGATGATTGATATCGATTTAATATCAAATATCTTTATCAACATATGTCTCAAGAAACATAAATAGCACAAGCTCTTCATTTCGATAGATCGATTCACATTTAAATTCCTGTCATTCCTATATCAAATATGATTTATCAAAGCTTACTATACTTTACTTAATATTGTTTTGTATGTCAGAAAAAAATCGAAAGAAAAAGAAATCAATCTGTTTCGCAAACAAAACAAATTATCAAATCAAAACATTCCATTGAAATAAAATATAAAAACAAAAAAAAGAAGAAATGGTATTACCATTTTGAACATTCATTCGTTGTATAAAATCTTTGCGTTGTTCTTTTCTGCTAGCTTGTTGATACTGTTGCTCGGAACTATCATGATCTATGATTAAGAATATATATAAAATCATTTAAGAAATATATATTAATCAGATAAGAAAAAAAATAAAATAAAAAACTAACAATATTAATATTACTTACATTGATAAAAATGTTGCACTGGTTCATCTACTACTGTATGAATAACTTTAGTTTCTTCTGTTTAAAAAAAGAAATTACTTATCGAATCAATTGTATGAATTTTCTAACCTGTTATAACCTTATCTTTTTTTATTTTTTCTTCTTGTTCATATCGATCAAATCTTTCCGTTTCTATTTGATTAGTGAATTAAAATAAGAAATAAAATATGTAATCTATATATATATATATATATAGATTACCTGTCATAGTTAAAGGTCGCTTAGGTATGATATCAGTTACGGTAGCAGCATTTGTTGTCGGTGGACGAACTAAATTAAATTATTAGTAGAAAAACACAAGAAATGAGAAGACTTGTTTTCTTCATATATCAACCTATTGGTGGTGGTTTTGCTGGTTCTTCTTGAAATATTCAATAAAAAATCAAATAAAAAGTAAAAAAAAAAAATAATAATAAAAAACATAGTTTACGTGGTAAATTAAAATTGTAATTATATTCATAGCGTTCTTCACGATGTATATCAACATCTTTTTTTCCTTCTCGAATATCAACACAAGATGAAGGCCGTCGACGTACTTTTAATGGTCGAATAATTGGTGATACTGTACGAACATATCTAACCATAGGTCGATATTCTTGTTCTTCTATTGTTACCGATCCTAATTTAATCTCAATCAAATAATTAATTACGAATCTAATTTCTTTGACCTTTACCTAAATTTCTAAAGAATCCATCTCTTGAACCACAACGATACATTGGTCCCCATGGAATTGATGGTAAACAGCAGCATGAACCATAATAAGCATTTGGATGATATACTTCTATTTGTTTTTCAATAAAACAGATTAATAAATATTTTAATGATTATCATTTTTTTCTAAATTGAAACATACCGAAATACTCTCGTCGAAATCTTCGACCTGATATAAGATGTCGAGGATGATGACCTAATGCAAAATCACTTTCAACACATGGTAATATTTGCGATCCACATGAATCTGTTAAAGCAACAGATAACGGTTGACCATCATAATATTGATAACAACATGGACTATCCCATGCAAAGCTTCCCATTAGAAGAGAATTTTTCTCGTTAAATATTAATCTACAGATAAGAATGAAAGAATAAAAATGATTTCATATGTTTTTGTAATCGAATACATTTTGAACCTCGAATAATGTAAATATGTCAGTTGTATTTATCTCATACTTCGTATGTAAACATATCAACAAAAAAATGACTGAAAAGTATTCAAAAAAAACTTCTAAAAGAAAAAAATCACGATAAAAAGAGAGAGAGAGAGAGAGAGAGGGAAAAAAATATGACATTTTTCTTTCACAGTGGTTGTTGTTGAAAACAAACGCATAAACACTTTATTTCTCTTTTCTCGGGATGGCATTGAATTAAAAAAAATTGACGATGTGAACGCAAATATGTGCAACCTACAGTAAGTAGTGGTTAATAACGAGCGCACATGGGAACAAAAAGAACCACATACGACGCTCCGGCGATGTTGTCGTCTATATGAAGTTGATCCGAAGCAAATACTCTTGATTTTTTTTGCGGTTTCTATATATACTTAAATACCCCTCTTTTTTTTCTCCCTATTCTTTTGTGAAAAGCCCCTTTATTTTTTTTTCTGTAAAAAAAATAATTTCTTTTACGACTAATTAAGATGCGTTCTTTCGTTTTTTTGATGTCTTGACGTACTATTCATTTGTTTTCTTTTTTTTTTTTTTGTTTTTTATAAGAAAATAAAATATAGGTTACTTATGCTTTTTATGAAAATTAATCAAGCAATAACGAAATTACATTGTTAAATTCTACAGCTTCAATTATTTGCCTAAAAATTTCAAGGTTAATTTTTCTATTTACAATATGAATTTATAATCGTTATATCCTCGAGTAAAACAAAAATACCTTTCACAATTTAATTCAGTTTCATAGTTTTTGATGTTAGAATTGTTTACCTAAAAAAATTTGCTGGCAAATGCTTTCTTTTTTTCTTTTTTTTTTTTCTCATGCTTTTAACCATTATTCTATATTCTTGGCAATGAGACAAACACTCATTTTTTCCTTGAATACTTTTTTTTTCTAACGATATATATATGGAATTTACCTTCATCATAAAAAGAATATGATATCAACTTGTGCTTTCGAGACGTTTTTCCTTGAAAAAGAAAAATAACTGATCTAAAAAAGGACGTTCCTCTTATGTTATCTTTTTTCTCGTCAAATCACCAATATAAGAAAAAAAAACTTGCATCATTTATGCTTCTTGAATTTATACATTACTAACATTTTTTCTTAGCAAACTCCTAGAAAATACAGCAAAAAAAACGAGATCAGACTGATTTATACATTTGCTTATGCACACATAAATTGCTGTTTGATTGTGAGCAAATATTTTTTTTTGAATTTATTTCAAGGATATATATATATATATACGAATGCACTTGATATGTAAGACTGTCTAATTCAATAATTTTAACACAATAATATATTTACTTATTTGAAACGATATGTTAAATGATTAAAAAAATATTATTCTTTTTGATGCATTGATAAAATTTTATCTTATAATACTGTCATAAACAAAAAATCGATAAACTTCAAATGTAACCCGAAAAAACAACACATTGATTACTATGGATTCTATGAAAGAAAAAAAAAGACATGTTTATTTTTCTTATCATTAAGTATACAGAAAAAAAAAAGGTATGCGACGATAGATTGATCTATATATTTATAATTAAATCAATAAATTCTTATAAATAATTATTTAACTATACATTATGCAAAAGTTTAGACTAACTTTTTCAATGATAACATCCAGGTTTTGACTAGTCAATTATATTATTAACAATTTTTTAATTAGTTAATAAAGTGTCTAGGATATTTTACTTTTGACTGTAGATTTAATCTTATAAGGTAATGAATACATGAAATCATTACTTACCGTCATTTGATGGATTACTCATGTAGACAGAATGGATACTATATTATCATTTTTTTTTCAAGGAAGAAAAAAAAGACATATTTACATACAAGACAGTTACGTTGAAATAGAATAATGTAATTAATACCGTTTGATAGAGTCCTGTTAAACATAAAAATTATGCAATCAATCTCAATTTATTCACATTTGAGATAGAAAAAAAAAATAGTAATTCTATTCTATACATGAAAATTTCTATTTATTTTTTTTTTCTGATTTATTTACTAAGAAACCTCTTGTTCAATTTAAAGTAAATACTAATCATAATATTCTCTTCGAATAATTAATCAGAGTGTTCCCTTTAGTCAAAATGTATTACTGTAATTTTAAATATATTCGATGCAAGAAAAGACAAGTTTCCTGTTAAATAAAGCAGTATTATTTCTTTTAACTGGCACGTCATATTCCAATTTATATTAATATATGCATGACCAAATAGAGGTGTTGTACAACAAAAGAAAAAAACGTAAAAGAAAAAAAAAATAGAAATTAATCCGTTTGAATGTTGAAGTATAACAAATAAAAAATAAACGAAAAAGGAAAAAAATCAAATGAAATTATGCTAATATGAAGAAAAAAAAAATCAATTCGTCTACCACAAAGGTGAAGAAAGAGAATTTCTATATATATATATATTTTTTTTTTATAATATTATTAAGCGGTAGATATAAATCCATTTGTACAACACACACACACACACAACGAACAAGATAATAATTAAAGATCATTGTAAGAACAAAGAGAAAAAAAAATTAATTTAACAATAATTATGACTTATATCACTGCTTGCTACATCAAGGCCTTCACCTAATTTATAAACATATATTTTATAATCTTTAGATGCCATTGCTAATTCATCATTATATCCAACGGCAACATCGAAACATTGAGAATGTTTCATTAACTAAATAAAAAAAAATATTTAAGAAATTATTAAAAGGAAAAAAACAATTCAAAAATCTTACTGAATAATGTGAATGTTTTTTATTTCCATCATAATCATATGTTGTTATATTAAAATTTTCATGATTATCAACAACAATAAGTTCACGTCGTGGTTGATTCTACAAGTTTAAAATAAATATAAAAAAAAGAAAACAAAACAAAAACTAAATGAAATATTTCTTACAATACGACATGCTATCGGATAAGATATACCAGCACCAATATTTTTTAAATGTTTTCCATTATAATCAAATACGCGTACAAAATGTGATTCATTATCACTAACATAAAGTTCATGTCGATCATTGACACAGACACTTGTTGGAAAACTTAAATGATCACGTAAATCAAATTGACCCCAAATACGACCTGATGTTGCATCATAAATGTGAACTAGAAAAAAAATAAATAAATATTTCAAATGAACGATCCATCGACAGACAAAAAAAAAGGAAAATTTCTGTCGGCATATGTTAAGATTATCAGAGTTTCATGAATTCGTACAAATTTTCGGTACATATTTACTGTCCTTCAAATGTCTACAAAAATTACGGACGCGCATTCTAGGTGGCACTTTTTGTTTGCAAGCACGGATCTTTTACGATTAAAATCAAGGTCCTATAGTCAAGGCTCTCGATTGTTTTTGAGACTGACGGGGGTTAAAAATGTTTTTTTCTTTTGCCAGACACTTCAACAAACTTGGCAGACAGTCTCTTATTTTTCGTAGAAAGTGATGACTGGAGGGGGGGGGGGGTAGCATGACGAAGAAACCCCTACTACCCTCCAGAACTAAATAAAATCTTCAGAAAAATTCTCTAAAAACAATTTTTCAACGCTAATGTTATTACATGATCAGTCGACTGCAGCTATAAAATTTAATTTCGCAGACAATGTTACACATTTTTGCCAGACAGTATTAAAAATTTTCGCAGACACACTGCAAAAGTGGCGGGGACTGGCCCCCGCCATATCGTGAGCCCTGCCTATAGTTCACAGTTCTTACGTGTATCAAAAAGTTATTTTTGGCTATCTTGATATTTAATTCTAAAGCATCTTGTCTAAATACAAATTAAAGCAACCATGAGTATCCGTGTTCATAAAAAAGGCTATTGTTCAGTTGAAAAGAAAAAGCACAGCCTAGCATAGATGTCCCTATACTATTCGTTTCGAAGTCTATCTTGTTTTTGCTTCGTCCGTGGGTATCCAAAGATTTCTTAAGTTTGTTAAACTATATCAATAAGATTTAGTTTTCTAATGTATTTTACTTCTCATAATATAACTAAATTTCGTTTGAAAATCATATGCAGTGTTTTTTTTTTGGTACCTTTCATAATTTTTGATTCAATAACAATAATACGTCCTTGTTGATCAATGCAAATAGCGCGTGGACTTTCGAGATCATTTCCGAAGCGACTAATGAATTGACCATTACGATCAAATATTTGTATCATTGGTCGTGGAGATCGTTGAACCATAGCAAGCTATAAAAGATTTATAAATATTTACTATATATATATATATATAGTAAAAATAAATCTTACTAAATCATGTCCTGGTAAGACAGCAATACGATATGGATAAAGCAATGCACCAGGTCTTGTGCCTGCTTGACCAAACTTAAGTACGCATTCTCTACGGACGGGATCAAATAATTTAACTTGACTTGAATTTGTATCTACAACTGCAATAGTACCATCGGATAGAAACGTAATACCATTTGGTTCAAGAAATTCATTAATTCCACGGCCATAACCACCAAATTTATATTCATCTAACGGAAAAAAAAGAAAAAGAAAAATCAATTAAATAAAGTTATTTTTCCTAATAATATTTACATGAAGTTGGAATGCGTTGTGCAGTATTATTTTGTGATCGTGACGTTCGACGATTTTGTTGATCATTTTGAGATGAAGATCGTTTTGTTGATTGATTGTTAGATATTGAACCTAGTTCTGTTTCCATATGAAATTCAGCTGCAGATGGATCTAGTAATGATGATCGTTTTAAACGATGATTAAATGGTGATTGTTCATATGAATGATAACCACTTGTACTACCAAGTAAATCTACCGATGATGATCCAGTTAATGCATCTAAAAACAAAAAATATTCTGAGTTTTTCTTTTTTTTTTTTGTTTTGCTTACCAAATGTAATACCAGCTTGTTCAATTATTGAAAAAATATCATCATGATTATCAATTAATGGTTCAAATGATGTTGATTCATTTAAACTTGTATTTGCACTACTATGTCGAAGAAAATAATTATCAATTGATGATGGATTTAACATATGTGAAGAATTTGTTTCAAATAAATGTCGATATTCATTCCATGTATCATTTTCATTTTCATCATTTTCAATTGTTATTATTGGTGCAGCTAATAAAATAAACAAAAATAGAAAATTATATTATTATTATATTAATTTACCACTTGGTAATTTCCATCGACAATCATCATCAATAATAGTTTTTTTATTTGTTACATCAGCAAAATGTATACGGACCGGTGATGATGAACAATAATTTGATTCACTCATTGTACTTTTTGATATTTTATATAAATACAGATACCGATGATTATTATATACAATGAACTGATCAGTATCGAAAAAGATGGAAATATGATGAATATAGTCGAGAATGTTTATATTTAGTATATCTAGATTTTCTTTTTCTTCTTTTTCTGAAATGAAAAAGAATTATCCAGGCATTGATTTGCGTGTACATTGCAGCCGTATTTGATTAAATCGATAATGAAAAGAGAGATAATAGTGGACAAAACACATAGATAGTGAATATCTATTTTGATGAATTCGTTCGATAGAATATATTTACAACAAAAGTTTAATATTATTATTGATCAAAATGCACTCTAAGAATTTCTTCTTCACTACATCGAATCAAAAAGAAAAAGTTTCGAACATTCAATTTAATTGAATTTTTCTAACAATTAATAAAATCATTTCATTAAAATAAATTTGAAATATTTTAATATTGAATTAGTATGATTATCATTTGATGGATAGATAATATAATGATTTGTTTTATTGAAAAATGTGAAATAATTTATTCATTGACTTATGTCTTTCAAGTTATATTCATTAGTGAAAAGTAGAGTCTGACTAAGTCAAACTTTTTTTGACTTTGATAAAGTTCGAAAAGTGTTTTGGTGTATTTTAACGATACATAAATCATTTTATTTCCTTTTTCTGTGCTATTTGTTTTGTATGAATATCATGTTAATATAATTTTTCTCTGTTAAAACATATAAAACCAAAAAAAGTAGAAAATTTTTGTATATTTAACATATAAAGTTGGCACGTAATAAAACTAAAACCTTGATTATTCTACTGATGTTATCAGGTTAACTCCGAAAAACAATTTCTCTCAGTCACTCTAATGTCGAAAATATTTTTTTTGAAGCTTCGACTCAATCTCCGTCAGAGTGGATGTTAGGAATCAAGTTTCGACGTCTGATGCTGAGCTCTAATTTAAAAACAACAATCAATAACGAAAATGGAAAATACCAATATATATCAATAGACATTAAACTTAAAATATTGTCTCAAGAATACCTGGAATAAATTTGATATTTTAATTAGTCGAAAATATACTTTGAAGACTAATCGAACTATCAATAAAGAAAAAAAAATCGTTTTAGTAGTCGAAAATCCTTGTTTTGACGGCTAATCATCAAAAATACGTTTGCTCTTTGATAATTGAAAATTAGGTATTAAAAGTATTACGTTACACATTTTCAATAGTATATAAAATCACGAATAATCGATTCAATATCATTCCATCTTATTGTCAAAAGTAAATGTAAGTTCTAGAATGATTTACTATTCTTTTATCTTCTTTTTTTTTTTTAAGCAGTTTATTGAAAATTACGATGCAACTTTTAGCATTAGCTTTAGTCGTATTGGCTGTTGTGTCAGGTAAATAAAAATTGATTAATTAAAAACTAGATAAATAAAAAAAAGCAATAAAAAATATATTATTTTAGCAAATGCTTTCACACAAGCTCAAATTAAATTTCAAGACGAAACGTTACAACATCATAATAAATTACGAACTCGTAATTGTGTTTCACCTCTTCAACTTGATAATAATCTTAGTCTAACAGCACAAAACTATGCTGAATATCTTGCTTCTAGAAATCTTTTTCAACATTCAAATAATGGTTATGGAGAAAATCTTTATATGATGAGTGGTTCAGCACCATTGGGAAGTCTACATGGTTAAGAAATTTAACTTTTAATTTAAATCAATTTTTTTTATTAGTTAATTATATATTTAGGAAATGCAGCAACTCAATCATGGTATGATGAAATTAATATGTATAATTTTAATCAACCAGGTTTTTCAATGCAAACTGGTCATTTTACACAAGTTGTATGGAAAAGTAGTCAAAAACTTGGTGTTGGTATTGCTTTTGGTAATGGTGGACGTACGGCTGTTGTTGTTACTAATTATTATCCACCGGGAAATTATATGGGAGAATTTCAACAAAATGTAATGCGTGCTCAATGCTAAATTGACATGTTCATTTTTTTGAATAAATAAAAGTCATATTTGAAGAAAACTTTCCTTTTATTATTATTATGGTTTACATGAATTTCGGTCCAGGGAATTTTCGGCCCGCACTTTCGATCCGGTCCGAATTTCCGGTGATTTTTCGGCCCGGGCCTAAATTCATCTCATCAATTCCTAAAAAAGGATGCCATTTCCTCTACCTAGTGGATACATTCCGTAATGCCGACCNGAAGTTTTCTAGGATTAAATACTAAATATTTCTTTCATTTTGTAATCAAAGCAAACATATTCAATTTGTTGTTGATTCTTATACATTTTGGTAGAAAATGGTACGGGTACAAGATGTCATGTAATAACAGCATTTTTAGCTACGTCGTATTCAAGAGTTTTGACTATGATTGTTCTAGCATTTCCATTAATTGTCTGTCATGATAATTTTATAAAAATGGATTCAACTGAAAAAAAAAACAAATTCATTTATCTCTAGTATTATTAACGGTTTACATGAATTTCGGTCCAGGGAATTTTCGGCCCGCACTTTCGACCCGGTCCGAATTTCCGGTGATTTTTCGGCCCGGGCCTAAATTCATCTCATCAATTCCTAAAAAAGGATGCCATTTTCTCTAACTAGTGGATACATTCCGTAATGCTGACCAGTACGACGTAGTGCTGAGCAGTTCGTCGTAGTGCTGAGCAGTACGTCTTAGTGCTGAGCAGTACGTCGTAGTGCTGAGCAGAACGACGGAGTGCTGAGTAGTGCGTCGTACACTCTAAAAAACAAGGTATTCTTGGAAACCGGTGGCAAAATGTTTCCGAGTGTGTCACTGTAGGAAACCTTTTAAGGATTTCCGAGAGCAAAAAAATTGGTTTCCGAGCCCTTAGAACCCTTTTTCCGCCGGTTTCCGAGAATACCTTGCTTTTTTGAATGTACGACGTACTACTCAGCACTACGTCGTACTGCTCAGCACTACGTTGTACTGCTCAGCACTACGTCGTACTGCCCAGCACTACGACATACTGCTCAGCACTACGACATACTGCTGAGCACTACGTCGTACTGCTCAGCACTACGTCGTTCTGCTCAGCGCTACGACGTACTACTCAGCACTATGTCGTACTGTTCAGCACTACGAAATGCGCTAACTATTCATTGAAGTTGGACTTTTTTTATGAATAGCAGTGAGATGAATTTCGTCCTGGACCGGATTTCCGGTGATATTTCGGCCCGGGCCGAAACGCCGCCGGGCTTTGGGACCGGGCCGAAGTTCCGGGCCGAAAATTCCTTGGGCCGAAATTCTGTCCTTCCGTTACAACAGGGCAAGCAAAAAATAGAATGCCAGTAAAAAAAAATTTCTATTTGAAATGCAGATTGTGCCACTTACGATCGATTACTCTTGGAAAACAACTATAGTCTCTTAGAGATTATTTACTTTACATATTTTATATTAGTATAATTAGACTAAACAATACATATGAGTTCCATATTTTTCTGCTGAAGGAATTTTGCTGACAAGCCTTTTTTTTTAAATAGAATCAATTATTGAAACGTATACTTTAGAATACAATGATAACGAATACGAAAAATAAAAAACAAAAAAGATTCAATACTTTCAATCTAATTTGAACTAAAAAATTTCATTGCCAGAATTATGTTTATTACTGTCTGTTTTTTTCAACAACAAGCATTCAGTAAAGTTAATAAACAAAAAGAAAAAAACAAATTTAATCTGGCACAACAGATAAACTAAGTGTTTTTTGTTTTTTTTTTAGCTGTTGAATTACGTTTCGTATCGGTTTCTTGTTCTTCAATTGTATCAGCTACTTTTTTACTACCAAGTGGTAAATTCGATAATACTTGTCGTATTGATTTTAATAAAGGATAATCATCTTCATTAATTACTCGACTTCCTAAAAAAAAGCAAAATAACAACAAGATTTCATAGAAAATAATATTTCAAATTATTTCTTTACCAGATTTTGTTTGTGTTACACCATTAACTGTTCCATCAATATCTTTATCTAATTCCGCAAGTGATAATATTAATGCTTTTTGTTCAGTTGTTAATCGTCTATAGAAAAAAGAACAACAAATAAGAAAAATTATTCTCATAAATAAAATTCAAATAAAACATACGTAGGAACTTTGATTTTCACATGAACATAATGATCACCTGTTCCTGGACTCTGAAGACGTTTTATACCTTTACCAATAAGACGAAAACGTTGATGGGATTGTGTACCAGGTGGAATCTAAAATTTGAATTATTTATTTAAATGATGACAAAAAAGAGAAAATTCTCTCTCTCTCTCTTTCTCTAACTTGTAAAATATGATCTTCATAAATTCCTGGTACTTTAATTGCACCGCCAAGGATAGCTTGAAATATTGATAAATTAATTTCACTATGAACATCTTCTTTCTCTCGTCGAAATTTTTCACTTGCTTTAACTCGAAATGTAATAAAAACTTCAGATGAACCTAAATTAACTCTCATTGTTTGTCCATCTTCAACACCTAACGGGAAGAAAAAAACAAATATTTCTTTACAAATTTTTTCTTAAGAAAGATAAAACAATCTATTTACCAGCTGGTACTGGTATTGTTGTAGTTTTCTTTTGAGCTGTTTTTCCTTTCCCTTGACATTCATAACATGGCTTTGGAATTGTTTCACGTCGGCCGTGACATGATCGACATGTTGCACGCATAAAAAACGGACCTGTTTCAATTGTTTCCATACCAGTTCCATTACATGTACGACATTTTTGTGGTTGTGTACCAGCTGCACAACGAGTGCCTTTACATGTTGGACATGTATCAACAATTCGAACATTTATATCTTTATTACAACCACGTACAGCTTCTTGAAATGTTAAATCTAATGATAACTAAAAGAAAAAGTTATTTAAGAAATTAGTCATGTGATCATCGAGTGTACAAGGCACTTGATAAAAAAATTCTTTCTTTTTTTTTTTTGTATATTCAATAAGTTTTCTTTTAAAAGCTAGTCAATATTGACCAGAGGCTGAAGCATGGTAGTGTAGGTATTCTTCCAATACACAATGTATTGGTCTTTTCCAGTTGACATCATATGTCATCATATGGACATTTCCCTTCGTTCTTCTATCACACATGCATATGGATCTTTCCTTTCTTCTTATGTATGGGATCATTTCTTACCATGACCCTGTATATATAGGTGTGCATCTATATATATGTGTGTGTAGTTCTCTCTTCTTCTCTTCTCTACAATAAACACCCATACACACAAACTTACAGGTAGGACCCTGAGTCGAAGACTTTTTTCCGAGGTGGGATGGGAAAAGGTTAGGACGAGGTGAGATTTATTAGCACGTTGCATATGATCGATTCCTTACAGTTCAGCTGCTGCTGAATGAGATTTTTGGGGTAGCAGGTCACGTTGCCAATCAAAGAAGATCCCATTTAGACTCAACAACAGTTAATAATATTTCATTTCTTCGTTCGATGGAGAACAACAGCTAAAAGATTGATTGATCTCGAGCTATATAGATTCCGTGCTCCTGTATCTATTTTTTTACAATATTTAGCAAAATAATTCATATTATAAAAAGATACAAACATCTTAGAAGGACGTAGCGAGGTAGCAAAGAAAACAAACTAAGGTCGGGACGAGAAACAAAATATTTTCCCCATTTCAGGCTCTGACATCGACTTTTTACCACTATCAAATTTTCTTATGAGAAAAAATAGCATAAGTCTCCTTTGATGGCTCTAAAATATTCATTTGATATCATCTGTCGAGATTCAGAATCAAAGAGTTTAAAGCTGAATTTTATATGTTATGCAACATTTTATTCTCTACCAAATGATAAATAAATATAGAAAACATTTTTAGTGGTTTTTATTGTCATGACACAATTGTAAACTTAAATAAATATGACATTCAGAATCAACGTTGAAAATTACATTGAATTAAAGACATTTGAGAGAAATTTGTTTTCTATGAAAAAATTCACTTGTAATCGTCCAACGATCAGTTTTTCTCAAGAAAAAATTTTTGCTAAAATCATATTTATTTGTTTATCGTTTTATAGAGAACAAAAAGTTGTATAATATATATAAAATTCAGCTTGCTACTCTTTGATTTTGAATCTTGCTAAAAGATATTAAATGAATATTTTAGATTCATCAAACGAGCCATTCTTCATTCATGGTCGTCTTTTAAAACTTGAATCGATCATGACATTAGTAGTTGCAGATATCGATATATTGAATGTACGACATTTTTTTTTTGCATTGTGTGCCTCGTATACTCGATCGTTTTATAATTAAATTGAAATGATTACTTGTGTAATGCCTTGTCTATGAAATGAATTCTCATCGACATCATTCGACCATTCATGATTACTAAATCCACCTCGACTAAATGCATCACCAAAAATTCTTCGAAATAATTCTTCAGGATCAACTTGAGATTGATAATATTCATAACCACGAAAACCAGCTTGACGTGGATCAGCTGAAGGACCACGAGCACCGGGATATGAGCCTTGACCTGAACTAAATGGATCACCACCCATACCATATGTATCATAATTTTTTCGTTTTGTTTCATCACTTAATACTTCATAAGCTTCTGATACTTCTTGAAATTGTTTTGCTGTTGCCGCATCTTTCTTGTCCGTTGTATCAGGATGATATTGTTTTGCTAGCTAAATAATAACAAATCAATAATTATTTATTTGACAAAAAAAAAAAAAAAGAAAGCAAACAAACTGTATAATAAGCTTTTTTGACTTCTTTTGCGGTAGCTGTTTTTGGTACACCTAAAACGTCATAGTAATCTTTTTTATCTCGTTTATTTGATGTGTGAAATGAACGTGAATGTGTAGTAGAAAAAACTAGAAAAAAAAAACAAAATAGAAAATTATTGAAATAATTATTAAAATTTAACGTACCGCTAATAATTTTTGATTGTGATATGTTAGAAAAATTTGTTCGAATCAAATTTTCAAGGCCATTATGGAACGATAGCCATGGTTTTGATGATAGACTTGATAGAGAAGATATGGTAATATATTTGCATAATAATGGAGATAAACGATTGATACAGTTTGAACAGATTAACATTGATGACAAGATCAAGAAATGAGCAGCAAACTAAAATAGTGATCTGTAATAGTTTTTGCTACATGTGTTCTATGTCGTTTCATCATTAGACATATGATTTAACCAATGATTGAAGTCTATCTATCAAGAACATCAACTCATGACATCTATCAATCGGAGAAGACTTCTTCAATTTTTCAGACACTTCTATGTACTTGTATGTTGAATTTTCATGTTGGTCTATGGGATGTAGAGAGAATTAGAAAAATATTATTCTGACAACTCTTGTAAAAGCACATAGAAACGATTATTTAGAAGATGTTATTTAGAAGATGTTAAATCTGTCGACCAGTTCACGAGTTCAATGAACTTTCTTCATCTAATATAAATGCTACGAATATAGTAGAATGAAACAAACTATGTTTTTATGAGGGACATCATACTATCCATAAATCGAGTATCGAAATTCGAAACATAACTATTAGCATATTCATATTGATGTATTCCTGGATACCAAATGTCATTAATTTAATGATTTTAAGTGAATTTGGTGCAATAAGATGGATATCCAAGTCAAACCCATATTTTTCAAGAGTTGAGGATTTTGAGAGAAGCTTGTATGTGTAGATGTTATCTCACATCCTCTTGGGACACTCACACCTACACACCTTTATTAATAGACGTTGCAGCCATTTTGGCATTCATCACAGTTTATTGTGTTCTCGTTATAATGTATTCAACCATATACTTTTTGAGATTATGAAAAAATGACTATAGAGTTGAAATAGCACGATGAAAATTTAATAAAAAGAAGAAAACAAAAACAAAATTTACGAAAAGGATAGGCTCATAAATCATTCGTCTCCGATTACCGTGTTGAAGAGCAGTTTTTCTCTCAGTGAAAAGTACATGTAATTACACTGTGAAGAGTGTACTTGATATATTAGGTTTCAGATGCAAAATACAAAGAAAAATACGTAGCTCAATTACTTATATAAAGGTGCAAGAACAAAAGACTAAGTTATCAGAGTAGCACCTGATGAAAAAAAAACCGTCGTAGCTGATGCTGGCTATCATCTGAGTAGCACAAAATGTGAAGAAAGAGAATAAGCACATTGATATATAAATATATCTATTCGATTGATTTAGACAAAGAATCTACCATCTCATTTTACACGAGTTTCATTCTAAGGAAAAGTCGTTCTTTATTTTTCAAACTAAGACGAGCAAAGTAAAAAAGTTTTCTTCCGTTTTGATGATTGAACTATTTTTTGTGCTTCATTTCTTTCCACTTCTGAAAAATTTTGTAGATGACCATTATCAGAATACGATTTCTAGTATTCGTTTTGCTGAACTGTGCCACCATCATTTTGGCTAGATACACAGATCCTAACTGTGGATGGGCAGACCAAACGTATCGTGCTGTTGGTGATTGGGCTATTGATACTGGATCCAACTCAAACTGGAATGTCGCTGAGCCTAAAGGTTTAATGCATGACACCAACGTTCAATCTTGCGAATATGCTGTTGATATTCATGGACTTCAGCCTAATAAAGTCTACTATTGGAAAGTAATTGTTGGAGACTCTTGGGATGTCAATTGGGGATGTGTAGGAAGAGGAGGACCAAATTGTATGTTCTCAACGCCGACTGGTTCTATTCGTCTGAAGATTGTAGGCTCTTTTGCATATCCTCTAACTGCCGAGGTCATTGGCACGTCAACCATTTCTACTACTACTTCTCCTGGTCAACCACCGAGTTCTAAATCCGAGAAGAAAGTATTTGCTCATTATATGGTTGGCTTTGCCTATCCATCAGATCAAAACTTCTTCGACGCTCAAATTAAGAGAGCAAGAGCAGCCGGTATCGATGGATTTGCACTTAATGTTGGCATTGATGACTGGCAACCCGATCGTGTAGCTAAGGCTCTTGCTGCTGCCAAGAACAATGGTGATTTTACGATGTTTATCTCATTTGATATGTCGTCGCTTACCTTTAACAATGGAGTCCTTAGCCGTTTCCATTTTGCTGCTAGTCACTCTAACTATTTCAAAGTGAACGGTAGACCTTTCTATTCTACTTTTGCTGGTGAAAATCAAGACAACTTCTGGGTCAATTGGAAAGCTACGAGTGGATTTAATCCTTACTTTTGTCCCAGTTGGCCTAATTATCCAACTACTAATCTGCTACAATCACATCCTGTTGCTGATTGCATATTTACCTGGAATGCTTGGCCTACTGGTAACTCTGGGCCTGGTAGTAATTTCGACACGACCGGTGATAGAAATCTTCTTGCTAGTGCCAAAGCTACCGGCAAAACTTATATGGCTCCACTTGCTCCATGGTTCTACACATATGTATGGGGAAGCGGATGGTATAAGAACTGGATCTATGGTTCTGAAAGACTTTTACCAGAAAGATGGCAACAAATTGTTTCATTACAACCTGATTTTGTTCAAATTATTACTTGGAATGACTACTCTGAATCCTCCTACATGTGTTCTGTTAGCAGTGACCTGCCTACTGGTATGGCAGGCATCAATAGTATGATTAATAGTCCACAATCTATGCGCCATGACGCCTGGTTAGAACTCTCAAAACATTATATTCAATGGTACAAGAACAGTGTCAGACCTACTGTTACCAATGATCAATTCTATTGGTGGTATCGCATCCATCCTAAGAATAATGTAAATGGCGATGTTCCTCAATATCGTAATGATGCTCAAGATTGTGTTGCTGTTCACTCTATCGTCAAGAGTGCCAAGCCTAGCGGAGGACAATATACGGTGGTAGTCGATTTGAATGGATCCAAGACTAGCTACAAAATTACTCAGCTTGAACAGACCGAATGCATTCCCTTCCCCACTAATCCTGGCTATGTAACAATTTCTTTGATCGGTCCTGACAATACTGTATGGTGGGCTGAAGGTAACAATGCTCCTCAACAAAAGAGTGGCAATAATTTCAATGCTTTTGCCAATAGCCATACTTTTCCAAGTCCCTAGTACGTGTCTACAGTATCGGACATCAACATAAACTCGTTACATCAAGATTCTTTTTTTTCGATATATAATCCTGTTTTTATGTATTTATTAATAAAACTTGAAAACTTGGATTGTTTTCTCGAGCTCATTAATTGAACTCTGCAAGAAGCAAATGCAATACAGTAAGAAAAAAAAAATTCTATTACTCATAAAATCAACTCATTAGAAATTCGAAATAGCAACAATATCACTGCAGAAGATAAAAGGATAGGTATGATACACTTTAGCAACTAAGTATGAAGCATACATATTTTCTATATTCATGATCATTATTCTCTTTTATTTTTGAAATAAATATATTCTTTAGTTATATATATTTTCCACTAAGAAAAAGTTGAATTTTTCACAATTTATAAAATGACAACATTGCACATCGCAAAAAAAAAGACGTTATGGACTTTCACTATTGCTAGCTATCTGACATACTCTAGAGAAAGAATTTTTGTCGTAATGAAGTACCGTCATTATCGATGGCTACTTGTAAGGAAAAAGAAACATTTTTTTTTAACAACATCGAATTTTCTCTGGCTCGGTCTAGTTTAGAATGCTTGCAGGTCAAACCAGGTCGATTGAGGTTCTGATTTTTCGAACACACTGAATTGTATAACTCTATAGTAATGTATCATTCTAGTTTCAGGTGTTCATTTTATTTATTTTGTATAAAGATAAGATAATAATAAGTTCATTAAGCAAAGTAACAAATTAAAACCAAGACACAAACATCATAGGTGTTTTTAATCGAAGCTCTGGTTTATACTAATACAATGTACATGCTCACGTTCTTCACTATTTTTTGAATAATTGTTTTTGATAGGAAAATCATAAAGACCTGTGGTTTTAATCATTCCAAAAGAAAGACCCGTGGTCATCGAAATATATCGAAACTTACTTTATCAGCAGTTGACCAATGAGGTGAGCTCTTAGTAGAGATTTTCGAAAACGGTATTCTGACTCTAATTTACTTTCTATTTAGAATTTTAATAGGGTTAATTAATAGAAAAATTGTTTCTCCCTCGCTCTACACAACGTCAACATTCCAAACTTGCTTAATTCGAGTGTTATAAGACGTTTCCTGGAATCCTCGATTTCAGCTCATTGACCTGTGATCATCTGGAAAAAGCAGCTAGACAGATTTTCGAAATTAGATCGATAGAGAACAAATTTTTTTATTGACTAACTCTATTATAAATTTGAATAAATAGAAAAAGCTTTAAAATGTCATTTTCGAAAATCTCAACAAAGAGTTCGCTTCATTATTCGATTTCTGACTAGTCAAATTGTAACATATTTCGATGGATTCAGGACATATCTTTTGAAAAGTGACAATCGTAAGTCGCTACGATATTCCTATCAAAAGTTATTAAAATAAAAGTAAAGCACATCATATTTTAAAACAAATACTAGATCAATTAACAGTCCGGTATCTTAGAATGGTGATATTTCTGTGATGTTTTTCTCGTGTTAAAATTTAGATCTTCCATTGAGGCTCTGTAATCTTAATGGAACTTCAGTTAGTATACATTCGATTTCACTAACTAAAGAAACTATGTTGGTATTTCATGGATTATAATGGGTATTTTATGCTTTTTTTCATCGGTTCCTCCTCTCGGACATATGCTTGGTGTTCGGGATAGTTTCACATCTTATCGATTGTTTCGAAACTATGCATTGTTTTACTTTAATTATTCTTTCTTTTCTCACAGCGACATCTATTATATCGACTAATCAGTTTATTTCTCTCTCTGGATAGGGATTCATTTCTTGAGTCCAATCTGGAATTTAAAATAAGAAACGCTTTCTACTATTGTCATGTTTCCTTCGAAGACAACAACCATGGCTCAATATCAACCGACTGTTTTAATTACTACTCAACATGCTCAACCATGGACAATCAGCGCTTTTAATGGACTAAATGGTAATGTTCTTCTTACATTTAAATGTGATGCACCTATTGCATGTCATGGTCTATTGTGTTCTCGTGATCATATCTATGCTGCTGCTATTGATCGTCCTTCAATTTATGTTTGGAAATTAAATAGTCGAGTACGATTCTATTAATTCACAATTACTTTCATTTATTTACGTTTATTTCTAGAATCGAGATTATAAAAAAATAACAGTTGCAGGACCTATTAGTTCAATGACATTTACTCGTGATTCAACTATCTTGGCTTGTGCAATAGGAAATAAAATATTTCTTTATAAAGTAAAAGAAAAAAATTCAAACTAAAAAATGTATTATTTTATTATTTAGCTTGATAATGGTCAACATTTAATAACACTTTCAGCACATATTCGAACAATAAATCATTTATTATTTGATGAAGATCAAGATTGTTTAATATCCGTTGGTGAAGATAATCTTATTCATCGATGGAATATTGAAGAGTAAAATAACGTGTTTTTTTTTAGTCGAAAAACAAAAAAAAACGAATTTTTATTATTTTTATTAAAGAATAAATCCTGATCGAAATTTGGATATTTCTCCAACAAAATCATTTCAAGGTCATACAGGTCCAATTCATGATCTTTGTCAAATATCAATTGGAAAATTTCATTTACTTTTAACTGCTTCGAGTGATCTTAGTGTTCGAGTATGTCTTAAGTCTTTATTTCTTTTTCTCGAAAGTAATAAATTTTGAATTTTAGTTATGGGATATTGTCACAGGCAAATGTTTATGTACATTTTTATTTCCTAATGAAATTCATTCAATATGTGTATCATCATTTTCTTCAACAATTTATTGTGGTACAGATACTGGTACAATTTTTATTGTTTCATTACGAACATTAACAACACAAGTAAATAATAAGAAAAAAAAAAAAATTTCCTTTTTTATTGAATGAAATTTTAGTTTGGAGGAATTCAACATCAAAATCCAACGATAACAATTGATAATAATAATTCAAAACAATTAAATCATCATCAGTAAATTCAACATAAAGATCTTTTTTTTTTCGAAAATTATTTATAATGAGAATTTTTTTCTTTCTAGAGGTTCTGTTATATCACTTCGATTAAGTTCCGATGAACAGATTTTATATTCTGGTAGTCTTGATAAAGATTGTGTCATGTGGGATTTATCATCTGGACAAATACGATTTAAAAAATCATGTTCAAGTACAAAGAAAATTTTCTATTTTCATCATCTTGTTTGTTTTTTTGATAATTCTATGTAGGTCCTATAACAAATATTCTTCTTGCTAAAATTGATACTGATGATATTAATGAAGGATCAACTATTTCTATTCCATTTAGTGTAAGTTTAAAACATTAGTTTTGTTTTTATTTTTTTGTAAAAGGTGTTTTTTTTTAATAGAATTTTTCGAATGAAACTAATGGTGAAGTTGTAGCACATACTCTTGCAACTCAAAATAGTTCTATGCAAAGATCAATATCTAATCAAGATTCTATAAAATTCATTCCTATGGTAAGTAAAATTTAATGAAAACATAGATAATGTCATTACTATTGAACTTTATTTTAGCCACCGCTGAATGGTGAATCAGATGAATCAGCAACTATGGCAGCACCAACATTTGTTTAAATGGCTCGTTTATTATTACTTGAGCAACAAATGAATTCATCTTAATTAGAAGAAAATTTCTTTGTCAGACATTTTATATCTTTTTTTCTTTCATGTTGTTTGATAAAATATTATTTAGATTATACGACTCATCTCGGTTATTAAATCAATTCGAGAAGGAAACAACTGAGACTTTAGTTGTGAAGTCCCATGAAATCTAGAAAGTTTTTCGAAGTCTTCTAAAGTCTGTTGAAGTCTTGTGGTATCTGATGAAGTCTTCTAAATTCTTTTACATGTAATTAGTGGATTGAAAATTCATAAGAAAACATATGAAACAACTTGGTTTTGGATGATCTTATTTTAGCAGAAATGTGAATTTTTATTATTTGTCAATCTGCTAATAAAGTTGAAGCTCGTTTGAACTTTACAAACATCATTGTTAATAATTTTAGGCTTTATGACATTAGTGGGGTGGTTGTGGCTCTGACTGACACATATACCTATATCGATGTCAACACCACTCTTTTAAAAGAGAAAATGATAATTTATGAGTTTCAGTGAGTTGGAATGAGTTTGATCACATGAACAGACACCGGAAACGAGTGAAAATCATTAAAAATCACAGAGAATCACTTAAAATCAGTTGATGTTTGATTGATTTAGGAATGACTTAAATCATTTGTTTCTTTCTTGACTCTTTCACATCTACACTCTCACATCCCACACCCACACCCAATCGGTTTCTATGGTTTCTCCAATGTTCTTATAGTCTTGAATTCTCCTGAAGTTGTATGAAAACTGCTGAAGTCTAAAAAAAATTGCTGAAGTCTTTTGAAGTTTCTTGAAAATTTGAAGTCTCTGTTGTTGAAGTCTACTGTTTCCCCTAGAATCAACCTTAAACAATGTTTCAGTAAAATGCAGTTAATTGTTTTTTTTTTCAAGTTCTTCACCTAAAAAGTAAAGCAAAACATTAAACGAAAGCAGTAGTTGATTTTATTGAAGTGTACGTAGATTCACACCATCCATAGTCGATACAGCAAGCTTGTTTGAGTCCAACAGAAAAGCACGGTAGGGACTCGAGTAATATGAAATTATTTTCTTAATTTTTCCGTCTTTTCTAATATGAAACAGACGTCCAGTTTCATGGTCGACAATGAGCCATTCATTACAAGTGAGTAAACAACAGCGAAATGGTATCGTTTTGAAGTACCTAATATCAAGTTGAAGTGTCCAGATGCGATAGAACGTCTTTGCATATCTTAATTCAATGCGCACCGATTTCTCGATTACATTCTTGACCGTGAGAGCAATATTTCCTGTACTGTAAACAATATCATCAATCATTTCATCGTCGGTACATGTAACAGGATATTTCCATTCTCTAGTGAATTCGATTGATGGAAATAATGTGAATTCCAGAACAGATGAGGCACGCTCATTTGTACATGCAAAGAGAACTGTATCAGAACATGTACATGATAGCCAGTATCGTTCTTCAACTGTCTGAACATTTTCAATGGACATTGTGCTTTCGTTAATGAGAAAGATGTCTTTTTTTCCAAGTATAATGAATTGATCTAATGTTGATGACCAGCAACTGTCTCGAATCTCACCATTCGACCATAAGGTTTGTTTGACTATGTTCATTTCTCGATCAAGTAAGCATAAATTTGGATATCGATGAATCAATAAATATCGATCGTTGCCAGTTAGTGATATAAAACTTCCCTTAGGATAATGAATTGTTCTATAAGCAGGTGAAAGAGTTGATAGATCAAGTTCATATTCAGTCGGATTTTCTATAGAAATGAGCGTATCATCTATCAGTAATGGACTAATATTAATTGCAAAACATGTTTCTTCAAGTTCATTCATATTTGTTTCGATTTGACGAATGATTGATGCTAATAATTCGATATCTTGGCGAGTTGCTTCTTGTGAATTAATAAGTTCAGTTATCTTCAAATGTATTTGATTGAGTTCTTCGCGTTGTTGACCAACTTTTTCATTAACAAGTTGATGAAGTTCTTGACATTTTTGTTCAAATAAACAATCAATTGCCTTATAACAATCTTGACGCCATTGTTCAAGTTTTTCAAGATTATTGACAATTGTTTTTTGAATAGTTAATGTTTTGAGACGATCTCCAAGTGCATTAATTTCATCAGTTAAAGGATTCAATTGAGAAATGAGTAAAGCATTATGTTCATTTAAATGTTGTAAACAAAGATTTTGTCGACAACAATCACACAGCCAACGTGATATACGTGTGCATGACTTTATCGAACATAATCGAGACATTAATGAAAATAATAAAATTCTTATGTTCTGAAATTAGATGCAATAGGAAGAAAGAATGAAATATCATGTAATTGCTAAAAAATAGCTGTTCATTTACTGAAGAAAAGAAAAAGGATTAACATTGTATGCAGACAATCAAGATTAAGATTTCGTTCGCTCACATTAATTTCAACTAACAGATGTGGTAAGAATAATGATTTTGCAAGAATAATAATGAACACTTTGACTGGAGATGATTATTTATCCAAAAATATAATGTTCATTTCTTTCGAGAATATGATAAAGAGAAAAGAATCTGTGTTTAATATGTGTAATTCAATCAAAGACAGAATCCAAAACACGCATGTATTTGCGGGACATATTCAGAAACTCGCATTCATTTGCAAAATAGCTTTCAAGTCGACATATCTTATGCACGACGATGTAAGCTTTTCAAATATTTGCAATTGTTCCGCATATGTGTACATGTCTCAAACGCATGCAAAGAAGTACAAATTTTCAAGCAAAACATATGAGACTATGAATGACAATTATCCTCGCAAATAATTGCATGCAGCACTCTTTCGTGTTTGTGCACGACATACGAGTAGCACTTGTAAATGCTGAAGTATTATTAGCGTATATATTTAAGATCACTAGATCTTTGCGAAACTCTGCATGTCAGTGTAAAAATGTTGTTTTTACGAACCCTATTACTGAAGCGATTGCGCGTTAACATGGAAATTTCTATTAGCTGTCTGCACGAATATAGCTTTTTTCTTCGTTGCGTATATATTTATTTCTCATTAAAATGAACTCACTCTTATGCATCCACATTATCTTAACTCAGAAACCTTGTTCAATATCTCGAATTTACCTATCATTATTAGTAATTCTACTCACAGCTGTTTAAGAATTATCTAATGATCATTATATCCTTTAGTTTTGATTGTACTTCTAACATAAGTAGGTAAACGAACGGTGAACAAGCTTGTCTTATGAAGCACAGTATGTATGATCAAATCTTATCTCTCGAAAAAAAATCCTATGTATTCATGTATGTTTACTATATGTGCTTCGCTTTTTCAGCCATTCTACAACTCTTCTTGTATGCACTCGCGTGAGTTCTCTATAAAAAAGTATTCTTATGTTCTTGCATGAAGCAACAATACCAATCATGTTCAGGCGGAAAATTTCATGCATGTGTCGAGTCGGAGAAGACTTTAAAAAATGTGTTGACGCACAAAAATCAGCTCACAAAACATATTATTACTTATTTTCCTCTGAACGAATATTCTTATGTGTAACAATTACTCTTTTTTTCTCGTGTTTTTAAGCAATTTAACGTGTTTCAGGGCACCCTTCTTTTCAGACTCCCAAAAAATCACTCTCTTCGATTTCGTTTGTTCCAGAACCTTTGACCGATTGAGTTGAAAATTTTTATGTGGCAACTAGAACTAAATTGGGTGTATGTTATTTTTTCTTTTATTAAGATAATGTTCTGCTAGTTTTTTTCAGATGTTACAAAATTCACCATTGGAGAAAAAAAAACACTTTTTTTGACAGGACTTTCAGTATTTCAGTTCTCCTAAGCGCAAGAAACAATATTTTTCGGAAAAAAATATAAACATCCTGATGTGGTCTTAGTTGCTATAAAACAAAACTTAACAACAAAAAATGAATTTCGACTGTTTGCTAAGGGGAAAACTTCGGACCATTTTTGGCCTCTGCACTACTATATCTCATAGAACGAAGCATCTGAAAATTCTAAGTCTATGACGACGTTCTCTCTATTAGTTAAGATCTATCTACTCTGAAAGTATTATCATTTTTTTTTTTTTGTCATTTTTTGAATTCTCTTCCTGATGTCTTTATTATAAAATAATGAATTTCATAATGTAAAAGTTCGTTGTTAAAAACAACTTCTTCAGACAAATTACAATAAGTGCACATACAATTTGAACTGGTACATAAATAAATGAAAATAAAATAGCCATAACTAGTGTCTATTCATTCTTTTTTTCAGTTCATATTTCATAGTAATACAAAAAGCAAGACGGTAATAGTAATAACTGGATAGATTTTATTTTCCGCATCACTATCAAACATGGATTGAAGAAATAGAATGAATAGATCAGTCATTGCAATTTTGTTTTTATTTATTTATGTATCATTTCAAATTGTATGTGCAGTTATTGTATATTGGTCTGAAGAAGTTGTTTTCAACAATGAAACGTTACATTATAAAATTCATTATTGTATAATAAAGTTATCAGGAAGAGAATCCAAAAACATGACAAACAAATCAAATATCTTCCACAGACGAAAACAATTTCATAATGTTTGTTCGAGTCGTTCTTGAGAAATTCAGAAAAGGGAGAATGCTCTTAAACGAACTCGTCTCTTATGGCCAGTTTAGACGCATCTATACTTGCAATTAAACTTTGACCTGTCGTTGTAACTTGATTACGTTGTAACTACGTCGCAGTTGCTAAAAAATGAGTCGACCTTGGCAGAATGCGTAGTATTTGTACTTGACGGACGAATTCTTTTAGAACCATTAAAGGTCTTGATTTTTTCCTAGACATGAATTAGTGACGAAAGTTGTGAAAGATCATATGAAAAAAAGTGATAAAAGATAAATGTAGAACATTAGAGTACTAGTGATTAATATAGCTTAAAGAGAAAAGCAAGCTTAACGTAATGTAAAGAAAAAGTAACTACACTTGTGAAGCACTTTGCAAGCAAAAAAGAAGCCTTGTTTTGTCAAAACAAGAACGATTGAAGCGTAACTACTTACTTGCACATTTTCTCTATTACGTCGCTTTTCTATATATCAAGAATCGAATCCGGACAATCCGTATTATATCATCATTCTGACCAATCATATGCATAGTAACTTGTTTTAGGCAAGCAAACAAAATATAAATTCATTATAGAAAGATTGAAATCAAAATTCATGCTTTCAGCAGTGGGCTTAGGTACAGAGCGATGGAGACCATGGCCTGCCCTCTCCTTCCAAAACTTTTTTTTCGTTTTTTTCTAAGCAAAAAACTTCAAAATGAGCAAATACTATATCGAATGAGCTTCAAAACACATCTGATGATCATGATCACCCCATCATAAAAACTCTAGATCCGCCACGGAACACTTTTGTGAGTTTGTTTCTTTTTATCTGACCTCTGTTGACAAGATATTTTTACGTTGCCATGAGTTGTGATCTCTTTAGAATCACGTATTGTATTGAATATCGTATTTCTGAATAATCATGATTATCATTCCATTGTCATTTTGAGAAAATATTTCAAATTCTCAGAGAAGTGATTTAAATGATTCAGCTGTTTATAAACACGCTAAAATGTAGTTTTCGTTTTTCTCTTTAGTTTCTATCAGATTCGTTTTTTTTATTTATGTATGATATCAGTCAACTATCTCGTTTGTTGTGGTGATTTGCCCAATCAGTCATATATTCATTACATAATACTATCATTCTTCTCTTTCCCTCGTATCAGTCTATTTTTTTTTGAACTTCATTTTTCCTTCGTATAGCCTATTATGAGTTGATGTAGTTGATAGATCGATACTCTCATGTGAACAAATGGATATAGGTCAGTCTTTAAATTATAGTGCTTGCATTGATATTGTTGACTCTGATTGGGTAGCCTAGTTTTATTTGAAGTAATTGATTATTATCACTAATCTCAGTTTTATGTCTTTCTTTTCGTTACCTAGAGTCATATTGAATTGTGATTTTTAGTTTTTCTGTTTACGTCAGCAGAGATAAAGAAGAAACAAACAGTATATATGTAGTGTTTTGATAAATTTCTAATTCATTTCAATTGTTTATATTTTTCCCGTATCTCAAATTGGACGATACTTGAGGATATATATATATATATTTAAAGAGTAATATCTATATTATTATCCAAAATTTATTGAACTCAACTACCATTATTAATAAGAAATTCCTTGAATGAAAATCATTTTGGAATAATTTCATCAGATTGAATTCGTATTCTTTTACATTATACATGATTTATCTGAAGTATATAAAACTGACGTTCGAACGTAGTTAAGTATTCAACTCAATAAAATACATTTGCTAAAATTATTTTGACATGAAATAAATGTTTTCCATTAACGTAACCTTTTATGCTGATGATACCACTTTAATGAATAAAAATTTGGATGATTGCTTATATGTAGCCTTCAATATGTATTTTTTGATTTTTCTTCACCTTACAATATTCGAAAAATATAAAGAAGTCAAAATGGACCGGAAACTTACCAAAAATATTTTTTATATTATGTTACTTCCACACAACGTTCAATGGTTAGATAAGATTCTTGTAGTTAGAATAGTTTTTGTAGTACAGTTTCACGTGTTACTAGGCGTTTGATTTCTGAGCCAATGGAAGAATGTTTCGAAGTGTAAAATAGCTTTTCAGTCAGTACTATGCGCCTCATGTAAGCTCTAACGAGCTATGAGTAACCTGAAAGGTGTTAGGGCTAATGACTTGATCGTGCCAAGATACTGTATTTTTACGATATTTTTAGCAAATTGCTGTGACCACCAGAGATGTTGGCGAGTTGACAGGTTTTCATGCAACCTACCTCGCAACCGACGGATATTACATGAAAATCTGAATACGTCAGTAAAAGAGCTCATGAATTTTCAAGTTAAAACTATACTAGTAAAGTTTGCATTAACTTACGGGTAGAGCCAAAAAAATCAGCCACCCACATCTATGGTGGCCACTCGAGAACCACCAGGAAGACTGAGTTTTGAATTTCGACTTGAAACTTTGTATAGAGATACATCATTACGAAAATAGTTTATTGCGAACGTTTCAGGTCTTTTGATTGCTCCTATCTTAAAATTTGCTTATGATAAAAACATGTTTTTCACAGTGCTCATTTACAACTGCTAGTTTCGATGTTCTTATTTCAGAATAGGCACTATCAAAAAATTTAAAACTTTCACAATAAGCAATACTTTTTAGGGTATATCTCTATGCAAA